CCTCAGACCAGACAATCCTCTGAGCATATGGTACTTAGGGAAAAGTGCAGTAAAGCCACAGCCAGATAAGGGGTCCCAATGACCAAAGCAAGATTTCTTGTGTGTGTGTGTGTGTGTGTGTGTGTGTGTGTGTGTGTGTGTTTTGTTTTTGTTTTACTATTTTAGAAATTGTAATTTTTCTCACTATTTTGATGCATAGCATCAAATTTACCATTTTAGCCTGGCCAGTGTTGCTCAGTGGTTGAGTATCAATGTATGAATTAGAAGTCACAGTTTGATTCCTGATCAGGGCACATGCCTGGGTTGCAGGCTTGATCCCCAGTAGGGGATGTACAGGACGCATCCGATCAAGGATTTTCTCTCATCATTGATGTTTCTATGTCTCTCTCTCCCTTGTCCTTTGTCTCTGAAATCAATAAAAAGATATATTTTTAAAAAGAATAATAGTTTAATGAAAAACCAGAAATGCTTTATATCTCATATTTTCAAAAAGATTTCATTTAATAAGTCCACTACTGGTCAAGTTCCTTTAAAGAGAAGTATCCTAAGTACTTCTTATAATATGAGTGAATTTGGGAAATAAGACTACACCACCTTGTCAGAAAACACAACTATGGACAAAGTAAGATTCATCCACATGTAGTAAGCAATGTCTCCATGAACTCATCTGAACCTAACAGCTTACTTCATTAGTGTTCGTTTTACTATCCAAGATTCTTTTTTTACAGGCATTTGATTTTACTATCATAGACTTGGCATCGGAGACTGATGAAATTCCAGATATTATAGCTTTGGAAGAAGAGGAAGGATCAAATCATTTACACGCTAATAACCCTGAGTCCTCTCAGGGAGAAATGTTGAAAAACTAACAAGAAAATATTTCTTTATCTAAAAACAAAATTTGTGTCATATTAAACTTCATGTTTGCTCATGTATTTATTCCTGTGGCTTTGGAGATTAATCTTTTGGGGATTAGTCTATTTTTTTTTTATTATAGGGCTTAATTGTAATGAAACCTGGATCTAAACTTTTATGAGATCCTAGTCTGTATCATATATCATTTAATAGAATCCTACAAAGTTTAATTATTGAAATGCCTGCAATAAAAATTGGTATAATCATGAATTGTTGTGTGTGTGTGTTTGTATTAATAGAGTGAACATTTTTTGTGTGTATGTGTTTTGTTTTGTTTTGCCTCCCAGTATTCATTTCTGCTTCTTTTGGTATCAGAAATTTTGTATCTTTAAAAAAAAAAATGTTTTTATTGGTTTTAGAGAGAAAGTGAGAGAAACATTGATCGGCTGCTTCCTGCACGCGCCCCCCCCCCCCCCCCCCCCCAGGATTGAACCTGCAACCCGGGCATGTGCCCTGACCGGGAATCAAACATGACCTCTAGGTGCACAGGATGATGCCCAACCAACTGAGCCATACTGGCCAGGCCAGAATCTTTGTACCTTTTGGGTTGGGAGAGGGTGCCTCAGTCAAGTGTTTTTGCTTTTCCCTAGCTTAGGTGTGGGCACATGACGGAAACAGGTCAACTGGGAGAAAGCATATCATGATTGGTAAAGATTTATGAACTTTTAATTAGTCTCAGCATTCTAATCTTGGCTCTGCCACTTAGTAGTTGAGTGACCTTAAACAAGTTATTATAATTCCTGTGTACCTCAATTTCCTCATCTGTAAAATGGGGATAATAGTAGGTTTGTCATAAAGAATCAAAAATAAATTGAAATTTGTAAAAAAAAAAAAACAACACAAAAAACACCAAAAAACTCAGAGCAGCCCTGACTGGTTTGGCTCATTGGATAGAGCATTGGCCTGTGGACTGAAAGGTCCCAGGTTTGATTCTGGTCAAGGGTATGTACCTTGGTTGCGGGCAGGAGACAGCTGATCAGTGTTTCTCTGTCTCTGATGTTTCTAACTATTACTCTCCCTTCCTTTCTGTAAAAAAATCAATAAAATATATTTTTAAAAAAATAAAAAAGCCACCTCAGAGCAATGGCTGACATAAAGCAGCATTACTTAAGTATTAGTTAAGTAAACTGTAGAAACAATGGCCAATCAAGAAGCAATAAGCATCCCTAGTATCCAGGTTATAGTTTTTAAAATATATATATGTCCTTATTGATTTTTAGAGAGAAGAAAGAGGGAAAGGGATAGAGACATTGTTCCACTACCCACAGCATGGCCCCTACTGGGGAATAAGCCCGCAATCTGGGCATGTGCACTAACTGGATATTGAACTGGTAACCTCTTGATTCGTACTTTGACGCTCAACCACTAAGCCACATCAGCCAGGCCAGGTTGTAGTTTCAAAATACCTTTTCCCACTAAAAGAAATCAGTGCTTCTTGGAGAAATGGCTGATTCCATGTCTGAAGAAATGTACAAAGTGAGCTTTGAGCTTTTTGTTATTGCAGATAGCAAGGAAGCCAAGTTGAAGAGATTCCCATTGACCAAAGATGGGCAATCTTGAACTTCAATAAAGAAATAATTTCAATAGCTTGAACCCCATCAAATATGAACCCCACATAATCTTCAAATATTCAATCTAATTGGTCACCTTCAGGGGAGGATAACAAACCAATTCTTAAAACTGGTAACTAAAGGAAAAGAATCAAGAATTTAGCCTTCCTTATATATTTACCACTAGGTAAACAAATGGAAAATGAGGGAAAATTTCTGTCATAAAAGTATTGCTGCTAACAAATGAAAAATAAATGAGACTGTAGTCAGTTTGAGGTGCTACAACAAATTACCTTAGACCGAGTGGTTTAAACAAAAACACATTTATAGCTCATAGTTCTGGAGGCTGGAAGCTTGAGATCAGGGTGCCAGCATGGTCGGCTTTTGGTGAGGGCCCCTTTTCAGGGTGCAAAAAGTCAACTTCTCTTTCTAGCCTCATATGGTGGGAAGAGCAAGGAAGGATACTGACTTGTGACTCTTATGAGGGCAGCAATCCCATTAATGAGGATTCCACCCTTGTGATCTCATCTAATCCTAATTACCTTCGAGCTTTTAATACAATAATATTTGGGTTCTAACACATTAATTTGGGACATAGGCACAAGTATGCAGTCCATGACAAATGACAAATTAAAACTGCATCATTTTGCAATTCCCAGTGAATTAAGGTATTTATTAGAAAAGTATTTTTAGTGATTTCAGAGAGGAAGGGAGAAAAAGAGAAACATCCATCAATGATGAGAGAGAATAATGGATCAGCTGCCTCTTGCACGCCCCCTACTGGGGATCAAGCCAGAAATCTGGGATGTGCCCTGATGGAAATCAAACCAGGGATCCTTCAGTCCGCAGGCTGACACTCTATCCACTGAGCCAAACTACCTAGGGTGTGGGGATTTTGATGGGGATTGCACCATCACCTAATCTTGCCAAAGGCATCATAGATGTGTTTGAACAATCTCTGGATCCAGGTTCCAATTTGAAAATGTGGAGGACAGAGAGAGTGGGACATGTTGAACTGCACTTTGAGGATGCTCTCTTAATATTAAATTATTAGAACAAACCAACAAACCTTGGAAAGACAAAAAACAAAACCCAAGACGAATATAAAAAGAGCGAGACTAAATTATAGTGTGTAGGGAAGCACACTGGGATGGTAAAACTACAAGACAAGGAAAGTAAGCAATTCCTATAAAATTGACAATAATGGTTACTTTTTGGCAGAGGGACTGGAGTTTTATTTTGTCAACGTAAGGAATGTCCAAACCTAGAGAGACTTTTTATGAGTTTGAGATAAAGTGATAACATTGCTGGAAAGCAAGATCGCATAGACTTAGGAGAGTTTTTGTTTTTTGGATATGTTCTTTATTGAGCTTATCCACCAAAGTGGAAATAATGTCTGTACAAAACCAAATGTTTGTTACTGTAACTTCTGCATCACAATTAAAATCCAAACAGTTTTTTTAAAAAACAGTCACTCAGTCAAAACCCACTACTTCAAAATCAGTAGCTGCTTTGAAGCCACAGTAACACTTAAATATGGTTAAGACTCGAACGCAGAAATTTGGTTGGTTGGAAAGCTAATTAAACTTCCAACATGCTCAAAAATAGAATTACAAAAAGGCAAAATTGTGTTTTTCACAGAGATACAGTCCACTGGAATCACCAACACTTGGACAGCTGTTAAGAGTATTTAGAGTCCTGAGATAATATGAAATCCAGGCATCCTTTAAGTAGTTACTTTTATACATCTAGAATTAGGGAGGGAACCTAAAGATTACACTATGATTGGATTACTGAGTAGTTAAGAGATGTGCTTTGTCCATGGTAGTAGCATTTCTGAGGGCGCCTGAAAAGGTGGCCTTTTAAAGGGGTGTTAACCTAGCCTAGACCTAGGCTCAGAGGTTAGGTGACTTGTTCAGGGTCACAAAGCCAGTGAGACTAGCTGAGGATGGAACCCAGTGCTTTTCACTCCTCGAGGCCACACAGTCCAGCGCCTCCAGCTTCCATCCGAGGAACTAGGTCTACAGGGACAAAAGGAGCCCCAAACAAAGCCTTATGTTCAGAAACCGCGAAACGGAAAAGCTGAAGAGACCTTTTGCGATTGCGCAGGCGCCGGAAAGGTCGCTGCCCACGCAATGCAGTGTGGGTCTTGTAGTTTCTGCGCGGGGCCTGGCGGGAAGGGACCCGAGGGAAGAGCGCATTGCATGGCGGGAGTTAGAGTCGGCCGCGCGGCATTGCCTCCTCCCCCCGGAAGCCAGGCGGGGCGCGCGCGGACCGCTCTGCTGGAAGCGCGGGAGTCTTGGTTTTGAGGCGGCTCAGGCAGCGGTGCTGTTGTCCAGTGAGAGAGGCTCCACTTCCGCGAGACTTCACGGCCTCTGCGAGGCGAAATGGCCCCGGACTAGAGAGGCCCGGGCGGTGGCAATGCCGGAGGGGCCGCCGCGACCCCAGGCTGCCTGCAGGGAAGGAGCCTGAGGGCGCTCGGGGTCGTTGGGGCCTTTGCTTTCTTTCTTGGTCGTGACAGCGCCTACGACGAGGATGAGCTTCTCCCGCGGCCCCTCTTTCAAGAAGGAGCATCTTTGGATGTATCTGCAGACGCTCGGCTTCGAGCCGGGCCCAGCCGCCACGGCCTGCGGGAAGGTGGCGTCGCACGCGCACCTCGGAGTGTAAGGAGCCGGGCGGCGGGGCGGGGGAGCCCGAGGCTGGACGGGCGGATGGATGACCCGCCCTTGCGCGGACCCGCTGGGCTGATGGGTGAATGGAGGCTGATGGTGGTTCTGCCTTCCGGGCGCCGGCTGCTAAGCCTCTGCCCCCCGGGGCTGCCCGCCTAGTGGCTGAGACCTTCGGTTAACGGAGCCGGGCCGGGAGCGCTTTGTAGGGGAATAGACTCTGCCTTTGGGGGCGCAACTGGAGGGGCCCCTTAACCCTGCTTTGGTGGTGGAGCGGCGCGGTCTGGGAGATCCAAGGAGGTATGCAGGGACCCGAGAACAGTGTAGCAAACGCCTTTAGCGCTCCAAGGAGCCTTTCAAGCTGGTTGCTGTTTAGTTTATACTTTTTTACTTTAGAATTAGCAAACAGGCATGCCACGCTTAGCAAAAAAAAAAAAAAAAAAAAAAAAAAAAAAAAATAGAGAAGGTATGAAAATGAAAAGTAAAAGCCTCTTCCTTTGCCACTAATTGGTTATGGTTGTAAATCTAGATATTTTGTTCGTATTTTTGTGTCTTAACTTACCAGTTTTGTTTTTTTATGTTTTAGCTATGTTTTTATTACTTTCAGAGAGGAAGGGAGCTGGAGAGAGAGAGATAGAAACATCAGTGAGAGAATCATCGATTGGTTGCCTCCTGCAGGCCCCCCACAGGGATCGCTACCTGGGCATGTGCCCTTGACCAGAATCTTAACAGGGACCCTTTAGTCCACAGGTGGATGGATGCTCTAGCTACTGAGCCAAACCGGCTAGGGCTTACTTTACCAATTTTAGACATTATCTGATTTTTCCACTATCGGCCAAGAGAAATCTTCTTGACTTAATTATGTTATTTCAGTTCTTCTAGTGGCAGTGTTTTAGTATGTGTAGACCTCTACTTGATGTATCAATCTCAAAAATGTCTCTTAATTCCCCACTGTGTAATTTCACCAGGAAGGAAACTATTATCCATAAGATATTTAGCTCACCTACACTTCCCTGCCGCCCATCTGCCTTCTCCCTCTTGACTTTTTTTCCAGCTGTATTATAATTGTTTTACTGTCAAGGCTTAGAGGTGTAATTCAGTTTTGTTTGGTAACGATTTGTTTAGAAGTTACTGCTATTTCCATGTAGAAGTGTTTTGTTTAGGAGTGTATTCTAAGAATTGATAGTAGTAGATAGCATTTATCAGGTTATGATTATGTATTAACAAATACTTCATTTATTTTGCATGATTTGATACCCCACAGCAGTCTCATTTTTTCTGTGCTGTCGAAGAAGCTTAGAGCTTCTCCAGGCCTCCACTGAGAATGGTTCCCATTGCCACTACATCCTTCTCGCTAGTGTTTTAGCAATCTTAGTTTTCTCTGCTCTGGTTTGTTCCATTGTAATCTGCTTTTGCCTTTGAAAATTACCGTAGTAAAATCTATCAAGTCTGGTTCAGGGATGGCAGTTTTTCTTTCTTTTTCAATACTGTCATTGATTTTTTTCCTCCCTCTGGGTCTTTAGAGTAATTTCAGTGGGCTATTTGGAAACAGATGTCCCCTTTGAAATGCTTTAAGCATGAAGGTAGCATTAGACAATTTTGGAAAAAAAAAAAAAAAAAAAAAAAATATATATATATATATATATATATATATATATATATATATAAAAGGCTAATATGCTAAGTGTCTGACTGATAGCTGTGATGTGCACTGACTAGCAGAGGGCAGATGCTTGCCGATTGAAGCTGCTGAGCTGCAGTAAGGAAGGAGCCCGATTCCTCTCAGGGCCGTGGGAGTCCACCAAGGGTTATGTTGTTGCTGGGGTACTGTTGGTCTTAATCTGGTTTACTGCACACTTGCGTTTGTAGAAGGCCCTCTCCTACTTCGGGACCCTGGATCCTCCATCCTCTGGAGGATGCCTGAGAGCTGGTTTTGGCCTGATATCTGCAGGCCAGGCCGAGGGACCCCACCTGCCAGTGGGACCCTGCTTACTTTGCAGACACTCTTTGAGCCATGGTGCCACCCCAGGTGTGGCCGGTTGGGGAAGAACCGTAGGTGAGCTCCAGGGTGAGTTCAGCCTGTCTTGCTCAGTCCCATTCCCCCTCCCCCTCCACCTACTAATTAATTTCCTTTCAATGTACACAAATCTGTGTACCGGGTTACTAGTTCATATGTATTCATTTATGGTAAAATACATTGTTTTTGGTGTGCAGTTTTGTCTGTTTCTAGTTTCTGTATGTAGCTGTGTAGCCACTTAGAAAGTTAAAAATACACTTAATATATAATACAGTCATTTCATTGCCATGTATTTGCCCAAAAGATTTGCATTTTAGAAAAATCATTCTGGTTGCCTTACAGAGAATGAGTTAAAGGAGGACTCAGGGCATTGGAGTTAGGTAGGCCCAAAGTAGCAGTGGGAATGGAAAGAAAAGGTGATTTATTCATTTGTTAATTCAACAAATACTAATATTAGTTGAGCACAGTATTGGGACTGGGTGAACAGAATACAGTAGTGAACAGAATAGGCAGACTTACATTACAGAGTTTTAGTCTAGTGGGTGAATAAATATCTTCAACAGATATTATTAAAAATTAAAATGTCAAATAGAGGAAGCAGGATACTTTGGAAAAAATTTAAATGTGAAATAATAAGGAGGTAAGATTTGTGTTGCGGAATACAAACATTTCAAGGACAAAAAGTTGTTTGACATGAGTAAGCATGGAAACTTAAATGTTTTTCCTCTATTTAGAAAATTAATTTACTTACAATTGTAGTTGACATGTAGTGTTATATTAGTTTTAGGTGTATAACATGGTGATTCAATATTAACATACCTTACAAAGGGATCACAATAAATGTGGTAACTATCTGTCACTGTTAACTATTTTTCGTTTTGTTTCCTGCTTTATTTCTTTTTAAACCAATAGGAACATGTTTGACAAGCCAAACCGTGATGCCTTTCAAATAGTGTCTTATTTCTTGTTTCAAACGCTGGACCAGTCTCTTACCAAAGAAGTTTTCAAGTGAGTAAAACTTTTTTTTTTGTAACTAGTCATTCTCAAATTTGAAAAGGGACTATGCCTTGATAAAAGCTAGGATTTCATCTTTGGCTTTTCAGTATTATTTTGAATTGACAAATCAGGTTTGAGTCTTACAAATTTGGTGCTTAACCTTTATAAACCTCAGTAATCTTTGGTACTAATCGTATTAATCATATACTTCATAGGTAAGCTAGATTTTGTTTTATAAAATTGGTTCCTAACATTCTTTAGTCTTTTTTTTTAAAAAAAATACATTTTTATTGATTTCAGAGAGGAAGAAAGAGGGAGAGAGAGATAGAAACATCAATGATGAGAGGGAATCATGGATTGGCTGCCTCCAGCAAGTCCACCACTGGAGATTAAGCCCAGAACCTAGGCATGTGCCCTTGACTGGAATTGAACCTGGGACTTTTCAGTTTGCAGGTCACACTCTATGCACTGAGCAAACCGGCTAGGGCTTCATAGTCTTAATTATTAGGCAAAACAATGAACTGGTACCAATTTATATACTCAGTTTTGCCTTTTTCTTTTTGTCAATTATCCCCTGCATATTCCTTTTATTGTAAGCACTGTTATTTGTTTTGTCTATTTTTACTTTCTAAGTTTCTATAAATCCTTATTATTTTTGTTCCTGATATATGTATTAAAATGTCAAGGGCTATAGGCAAATATAATTTCTATTAAGTTTAGCCTCTATATACATATAAAAGGCTAATATGCTAAGTTCGACCAGTAGCTGTGATATGCACTGACCACCAGGGGGCAGACACTCAACACACAGGCACGGAAACATGGAACAGACTGATGAATCTCAGAAGGAAGTGGGGGACAGGGGTAGGGCGGGAAGAGATTAACCAAAGATCTTACATGCATACTGGAGACCCTTGGCCTGGCCTGTGCATTCTCGCAATCCAGGACCCCTCAGGGGATGTCGGACTACCAGTTTTGGCCCAATCCCCATAGGCTAGGCTGAGGGACCGCAGTGGTATACAAATCCATGCACCGGCTCTCTGACATCCCCTGAGGGCTCCCAGATTGCAAGAGGCACAGGTCAGGCCAAGGGACTCCACTGGTGCACAAATCTGTGCACTGGGCCTATAGTTGTTATATAGTGTTGAATATTAAATACTTTCAGGAGATAAAAATGTTAATACCCACTAGCCTGGTTCCAAGTTATTTTGCATGTGATTTCTTTGGTCAGGAAAAGTGTTCACATTTGTGTCAATATTTGTGTTATCTTCAACATAAAAAAGCAACAAGTAAATACATTGTTTAGGTCAGTGGTGGGCAAACTCATTAGTCAGCAGTACAACAGTTGAAATTTCTTTTGAGAGCCAAATTTTTTAAGCTTAAACTTCTTTTAATGCCACTTCTTCAATATAAACTCTCCCAGGCTTTGGTATTTTGTGGAAGAGCCAAACTCAAGGGGCAAAAGAGCCGCAGTTTGCTGACCACGGGTGTAGGCATTGTTTTCTTTTTGATAATTTTTTCTTAATATTTTGCCTTCAGTTAGGGTTATGAATGATCAGGAGAATAGATATCTTTGGAACATTTTTTTAACATTTTTATCATTACAGTATAGGGCTTCCTCTGCTCAAAATAGATTTTCTGGGGGACTCTTCCCCTTCCTCATGTGAGAGTCAGTTCAGGGACTTTTCCCCTCCCTACTTGGGAGTCCATTCTGTGGAACTCTTCCCCCTCCCCACGTGGGAGTCTGTACTTGTTCTTCAATAAATATCCATCTTTGCTATATCAAAAAAAAAGGGAAAAAAAGATTTCCTGATTCCTCCCTCCAATTATAAACAAAATAAAGCTCATTTTAAACAATTCAGAAAACAGAGAAATGTAAAAAAGGATGTAGAAATTATTCTGAAACCCACCAACCAGAGAATACCTGTTGACTTTCCAGCCTTTCAGTCTTTTTTCTATGCATACTAATTTTTTTGATTAATATAGAATGTATGATATATTATAGAAATGAAAAAAAAAACACCACACAAAACCATGGGGTCCTAGAATACCTCAGAATAAAAATTTAGATAAAATTGATTATTAGGGGAAAGCAGTAGGTAAATTTAAGTCTTATTTTTTAACTAAAACACTGGCAAAGCTTTTCTTTTTTTAAAATAATTTTATGTCATTTTTATCCACAAAACAGTAGTACCCACTCATTGTAATATAGATTATCTTTCGGAGTCAGAAATTCTCTTGGCATTTCTTCTCGTGCTCTTCACGTATAACCATTGATATTTCTCTTTCTTTTCTAGGTTCAACATACTAACTTACTTATGAGTCTGACGCGCTACCTACTGCGCTAACGAGGCACCTTTCATACTAACTTACTTATACCATCTTTATGTGTTAGTCTAGTGAATCCATTGAGAGTATTCTCATCTTTAGCTGATTTTCAGTAATTTTAAGAGTGATTAATTCCTTTATTTAATATATATATTTATTGGTTATTCACATGAAACTGAACTGAACTCCATAAATATTTATAAAGAAAAAGACTTACTTTCTCACAGGTCGGTGTCTCTCATTAGTTGAAATCTGTGAGTGCTAACCTTCATTCATTTAACATTATTGTTTTTAATATGGGAGGAAAATTTGTTTTTAATTTTTGTTGAGATGTCTTCGTAAGTAATTCTAATGGTTTTATTTCTGTTTTTAAGAGTTTGTTGGCCTCCATTTGACCAAAAAAGTGATACTGAATTCCGGAAACTTTGCTGTGAATGGTTAAAAAAAATTTCTGTAAGTATTCTCTTTCTGGAAAATGAAAACTTTTAAGAGGTTTAAAAATACATTAGTTTTTTTCTGGCTTTCTGAGGTACAATTGTATCTTTTTTAGATATGAAAAAAAATTTTTTTTTTTTAAATTGATTTCAGAGAGAGGAAGGAAGAGGGAGCTAGAGATAGAAATTTCAGTGATGGAAAAAAAAAAAAAATCAATTGGCTGCCTCCTGCATGCCCCTCCGTTACTGGGGATCGAGCTGGCAACGTAGGCATGTGCCCTTACTGGGAATCCAAACATGACTTCTTGGTTCATGGGTCGATCTCAATCACTGAGCTACATCAGCAGGGCTTAGAGGTGAAATATTTTTAATGCTTTTATGCTAACAGTATAAGCAAGATTAATATTTTTTTATCGTTTTTGAATGGGATTTCTGGAAAACCAGCTTTGCTAGCTAGATGCATTAGAAATAAGTTTTTTATTCCTTGGAGTTTATATCACAGTTTTTATTTAAAGAAAACTATTTTGATTTTAGATTATTTTAGCTTGTGTCCCCAAATAGTGTCTATAATTGTAGGGTTTATTGTAATTACCTTTTTGTGACAAGTCCACCAAAATTTTAGAATGATTCAAATATTAAACTTTGAATTCAAATGGAATAATCCTGATCAGTCCTATGCTTCAAAACAGTTTGATGTGAATATAAAGGTTATTGTTGATAAGTACTTCAAATTATTTTTTTCTAGGTGGAATGTGGAAATAACTTTCCTCAAGTTGTTGGTTCACTATTTCTTTCTCCTGGTGGTCCTAAGTTTATTCACCTGATGTATCATTTTGCAAGATTTGTAGCAATAAAATATATAAAAACGTCCAAAAGTAAGTTAAACTTATAGTAGGAATTCTTTTTGTTTTGTTTCTTAAATACTTACTCTTTGCAGTTTGCAAATCATCAACGGTAAGATAAAAATGTCAAGTAACTCAGAAGGCTAATAGTTAATGTTTATTAGAACTATAGTTTGAAATAATGAATGTGAGTAACAATTCGAATTATTTTATGTTCTAATACAGGGATTGAGAACGTTTTGACAGGGCCTGTCATATATACCTCTTTTATTTATTAATTTTAATTTAATAAAAAAAAACTTTTATTGATTTCAGAGAGGAAGGAAGAGGGAGACAGAGATAGAAACATCAGTGATAAGAGAGAATCACTGATTGGCTGCCTTCCTCATGCCCCACACTGGGGATCCAGCTTGCAACCTGGACATGTGTCCCTACCGGGAATTGAACCGTGAGCTTCTGGTTCATAGATCAATGCTTAGTCACTGATTCACGGAGTTTACTTTGTAAAAAATTTTATTTTTTATTTATTTATTTTTTCAAAATATATTTTATTGATTTTTCACAGAGAGGAGGAGAGAGGGATAGAGAGTTAGAAACGTCGATGAGAGAGAATCATCGATTAGCTGCCTCTTGCACACCCCCTACTGGGGATGTGCCCGCAACCACGGTACATGCTCTTGACCGGAATCGAACCTGGGACCTTTCAGTCTTCAGGCCGACGCTCTACCGCTGAGCCAAACTGATGCTGGCAACTTTGTAAAAAATTTTAATACAACCCTTTAAAAATGTGGAAAGTATTCCTTGCTTGTTGCTGACCTCAGGAAAACAGCCAGTGGGCCAAATAAGACCTGCAAATTATAGTTTGCCTCTAATACACTATGTTAAATGTTGTGTTGAATGTGTGGGAGCTTTATTTTGGCTATTAGTAATGTATGAAAATTTTTTGTTACAAGTTGCAGTTTTAAAGGGATTTTGCAAATTCATAGAAACAAAATACAAATTGGATTTTTTAAGCTGAGGCTTAAAAGAATGCTACTTGTAGCGTATTAAATATACTGCTCTGTTTATTTGGTTTATGCTATAAAACATGGACAGGAAAATACAGGAAAGTTGATTCAGCAAACCGTATCCATCTTTCAATTTCTAGAGACAACCATTGCTGACATTTTGGTTCATTTTCTTTTAGTTTTTTATTTTTATTTTTAGTGTGTGTGTATGTGTGTGTGTGTGTATGTATATATAGTCTAGTAATAATTAATGTCGTTTTTAAACATTTGTTTTAAATCTTGCTTGGCGTTGACTTGTATTGACATAACCTTCAAACACGTGGTATCTACAGAACGTGTGAAGTGCAATTAACAAGTTTTGCTTGAAAAAGTTTGTGTTTGGTTTGGGTTTTGTTGCAAAACTAGGGCTAAGAAGATGGCAGATGAAGAGCATATTCGGCACTGCATGCTTTACAAGTTCCAATTAGGAAGAAAAGCAAGTGAGGCTGCAAAAAACATCTGTAGTGCTCTTGGTCAAGATGCAGTTAGCGCCAGAAAATGCCAGCGTTGGTTTGAGAAATTTCGCGAGGGAAATTTTTCGTTAGATGACAAGAGTGGTCGAGGCTGTGTGTCCAATTTTGATCAAGAAGCTCTTCAAGCTCTTTTGGTGCAAAATCCTCAAATTACCCAACAAGAGCTTGCGACAACTTTAAATTGTTCACAAAAAACAATTTCCAATCAATTGTGTGTACTTGGCAAAGTCCAAAAGTTTGGAAAATGGGTTCCTCATGAGTTGACTGACAACAACCGTAATCAAAGAGTCACAATTTGCAGTTCGCTCCTCTCTTGTCAAAACTGTTTGCCGTTTTTAAAGCAAATTGTTACCGGAGATGAAAAATGGGTGCTGTATGTTAATTTGAAAAGGCGGCCTCAATGGTTGGACAAAAATGAGGCTCCGCAGCCCACGCCAAAACCTGACTTGCATGCGAAAAAAGTGATGTTGTGTGTTTGGTGGAATTTTAAAGGAATTCTTCATTATGAACTTTTACCATCTAACCAAACCATTACAAGTGCAGTGTATAGTGCCCAATTGGAAAGGTTAGCCCAAGCTTTAAGAGAAAAAGAACCCACGCTGATTAATCGGAAGGGCGTAATTCTTCACCACGATAACGCACGACCGCATACTGCAAGAATCACTGCTGAAGAACTGCGCCAGTTGGAATGGGAAGTTCTCCCTCAACCTGCATATTCTCCTGATATTTCCCCTTCCGATTACCATTTGTTTCGTTCTTTGCAAAACTTTCTTCTTGGAAAAAAATTTAATAATGAAGAATGCCTCAAAAATGCATTGACCGAATTTTTTGCATCAAAATCACAAGAATTTTACAACAGAGGGATTAAAATGCTTCCTGAGCGTTGGGCACAAGTAGTAGAAAACAACGGCAACTATATTGTTGATTAAATTTTGTTGTATTGTTTAAATAAATTCGATTTAAAAAAAGTATTAGAAAACGACATTAATTATTACTAGACCTAATATTTCTAGGTTTTAATTATTTTGAATAGGTAAAATAATTAAAACCCAGAAATATATATATTGTGTATGTGGTATGCCAGCTTTTAAAGAGTTGTTATACGAAGTTGTTAATCTCTTTAAAGATAAATAATATATAAATAATAATTAATAAAGGGCAGCAGTTTTAATATTTCTTAGCTTACAAGTCTAAGTTTTTGATGATCTTCTGTTCCATGTAGATTCATTCAAACATGTTGCAGAGACATTTAATTCAAAGCCACAAGATTTACACATGTGCATTGCCAGGTCCCATGTAGCACGTAACAGATTTTTACAGATTTTACAAAGAGAAGATTTTGTTTTCCAGAAGTATCAAGAAAATTCACAGTAAGTAATACTTCGATAGTTAGAAATGGAAAATTCTTTTATGTATAAATGTCATTAGTATGCCTTCAGTGATAGTAATACGTGTTTACTTCAAAACTCTGTGCTGTTATTTTTCCATTTTAAAGCCAGATAACTTTTGAATAAAATGTTTTAAATTTTAGGTATACTATAAATGAAAGTTTAGAGAAGGAAAAGGTCACTATAGTTTAAAATTTTAATTTCTTAAGAGTTTTTTCTTTTAACTTAGAAATATGTTTTTAAGATGTATAGTGTTCATTCTATTTTGTATCCTTTTTTATCTTAATATTCATTCTGTAAATTTTTCCATATTCCTATAGATATTACTTTTAATGACTATATTATAGTTTGCTGAGTATCTATTAAGTAGATAATCCTTTATGTAGGTGTTCCATAGTTTCTTTAACCATTTTATACTAATTTTATGTTTAGGGCCATCTCTTCAGTAGATTTGGTTTTAGGTTACAGTGTTAAACAAGATAGGCAAGGTTCTTAGTCTCAAAATAGTTTGTGTCTAATTTTTACAATTATTAACAACTTCAATAAAATACCTTTTTTTCTTCTGATAAGATACCTTTTTAAATGCTGTGCTATTATTAAAGCTATAAAATATATATTAAAAATATTTTTATTGACTTTCAGAGAATAAGGGAGAGAGAGAGAGAGAGAGATAAACATAAATCATTGAGAAAGAATCATTGATTGGCTCCTCCTGCACACCCCCTACTGGGGATCGAGCCTGCAACTTAGGCATGTGCCCTTGACCAGAATCGAACCTGGGACCCTTCAGTCTGCAGGCAGACGCTCTAGCCACTGAGCCAAACCAGCTAGGGCACAATGAAATCTTTTAATACTATCTTTTTTTTATTTTATTTTTTATTTTATTGATTTTTTACAGAGAGGAAGAGGGAGAGAGAGTTAGAAACATTGATAAAAGAGATTCATCGATCAGCTGCCTCTTGTACACCCCCTACTGGGGATGTACCCGCAAGCAAGGTACATGCCCTTGATCGGAATCGAACCTGGGACCTTTCAGTCCGCAGGCCGATGCTCTATCCACTGAGCCAAACGGGTTTCGGCTTTTGATACTATCTTAAAGCTGCAATATTGCTTGACTGTCTTAGCTCACATTAAAATTTATCCCCTAGGAATGTGAGACAAGGATAAGAGGGCAGAGTAATTTTATTGATCTCCAATATTTTTACGTGAAGTCAGAGAGTACACGAGTCAAAAAGTCGTTGGTCCATTTTAATAGTAGCCTGTGTGTTAAATCCTGGAACTCTAAAAGGAGTGTAGAAGCCTTTAGCTGGCTGCTGGGTGTATTTGTAAGAATATCCTTGAGCAAAGATATGAAATGGTGAAAATAGTAACATAACTATACTGTTTAATTTTAATGGAATTATAGATGGACCCTGATTTACAATGGTTAGACTTAGATATTTTGACTTTATGATGGTGTGAAAATGATATGCATTCACTAGAAATTATACTTCAAATTTTGAATTTGGTTGCTCCTGCGCTAATGATATGTGGTATTATACTCTATTGTGAGGGTAGTGGCAGCGAGCCACAGCTCTTACACCTGCACATGATCACAAGGTAAACAACTGATACTCTGCATTAATTGTGTTGCCAGCGTTTTTTGGATGTTGTGTTACATGTTTTCACATCCCTCCATGTCTATAAAATGCCCATTTGTGTCTCTTGTTTCTTGTAAGCAGAAGGGTAAGGCAGTTACTCTTAAAATAAATTAAAGAGAATTGCACAAGAGTAGGCTAAAGTAAGTGTTCTGAACACATTTAAGGTAGACTACGCTAAGCTATAATGTTCAGTAGGTTAGGTGTGTAAAATATGTTTTCACCTTGTGATGGGTTTATTGAGATGTAACCCCATCATAAGTTGAGAAGCATATGTAGAGTTTTCATTTTATATGTTTTCTTACAGATTATTAGATGAAGAAGTACAAAATTTGAGATCAGAATATATAGGACTGCAAAACCAAATAAAAAAGTAAGTGACTTGTAGAGCTGGAAGTAGCTTTATATATTAGTTTAGCTCTTGCATTTTACAGGTAAGAAACTGAGAGTCTCAGAAACATAAATAATAGCAAAAGCTAGATAATGATAGGTAAAGAATATAATTCTGATTCCTAGACCAGTTCTTCTAATAAGTTATTGCTTTGAGCTAGAATTTTATTTTTGTTTTAAGTGGAATGGTTATTAGTAGGTAATTTTGCAGATCAGTTAGCTCTTTGGATAGTAAATTAACATGTGATTTTTTTTTAATTCTCATCTGAGGATATTTTTCCATTGATTTTTAGAGAGAGTGGAAAGGAGAGAGAGAAAAAGACAGAAAAATTGATGTGAGATTGGTTGCCTCCCTCATGTACCCTAACGAGGGCTGGAGACTGAGCCTGCAACTTAGGTATGTGCCCTTGATTGGTATTGAACCCAGGACCTGTTAGTATGCAGGCTGATGCTCTATCTACTCAGCCAAACCAGCTATGGCTACCATATGATTTTTAAAATTAGTAATGGGCCTGGAGGTTGTTATGCTAAGTGAAATAAGCCAGTCAGAGAGACAAATACCATATGATCTCACTTATACGTGTAATTTACTGAACAAAATAGAAGCAGAAGCATAGAATCTGGAATAGACTGACAGCTGTCAGGGAAGAGGGGAGGGGAAGGCTGGAAGCATAATCCATAGACAACAGTGTGATGACCAGAGGGAAGGGGAAGCTGGGGAAAAATGACGGGGGAAATGGGGACATCTGTAATAGTGTCAACTAGAAAAATAAAGTTTAAAAATATGACTAATGAGATTAATTTTTAACTAGCATGGAACCTTATGATGACCAAAGTGATATACAAGAAAAAATTCAAAAGGTGAGACAGCTTTTGAAGAGAGAAATGTGCTCTCTCTTACTTTTGTGGTAGTATTTTTTTGTGATAGTATTTATTCTTATTATGAGTGTTATATTTGTAAAGGTATCAACAGGGTGCCTCTAAAATATTTGGATATGATGGGAAAAATAGCTTATAATTTATAATACTGAATATATACAAAAGCAGCTATAAATATGGTTAATTTAAAGTCATGCCAGCAAGAAAAGTTCAGTTTGATTGTAACGACGTAATCAGTAGTATTTATCAAAATAAAATATATTAACAGAAGGGAGATGTTAAGTATGGAAAAAAAGTGAGAAACAAAATTGAGATTGGCTTGGGTAGTAGAGAGTAATCTGGCAGACATAAGTGGTCTAAGGCTTTAGAACAAGCATGTCAAACTCATTGCTCGCGGACCGCATGCGGCCCACAACAAATATTTTTGCGGTCCAGCCAATATAACAGTATGTAAGAAACATTTTAATAAAAATTTTGTAACTTAATTTTTACAATATCCTGTTATTCATAATTATTAATAACAAACTACAAATTTGCTATTGACGGATTACCATAATCGTGTTGCATTCATTTCCCTATGTGCCTTACGCACCGGTGCACCATTTCTCTCCACTAATACTAGCAGCGAATATTTTAGCAGCCGATTGCCATGTCATTACTCTTGTACTGACTTGTTTGGTGTGCGCAACAGGAAATATTTCGCTTTCAAAGAACAAGAAAAATAGGTTTATTTGCGTTACGCTTATTAATTTGTTCAGTTATTCAGTGTCAAGTTAATGTTCAAGAAAAAAAATTAATTTCTATTAAAATGTTCTATTATTTTATGTTAACGATTACTCATTTACTTCAGCCTTTTTATTCAGCATGTCTCTATTGAAATAAACCTATTAAGCTGTTTTAATGGTTTACTTGCCATTATTTCACATTCAACCTGTGAAAATTGAAGCTTTTTTTGTGTGTGGCCCATTTAAACTTAAACCTTGTTTATTTGGCCCGTGTTAGCCTTTGAGTTTGACCTGCTTGCTTTAGAGGTTGACTTTGATGTGGGGTAGGAATATTTTCTTAGGCTTCTGTGTTCAGATGACATCAGTCTTCAAGCTCGTTGTTCTGATTCTACGACCATCATGCTCCTTTGGGTATTAATTTGGCTGCTCAGGCACTTTGTTCCTAGAAAAGGTAAGTGCCATCCTCAGGAAATAATTGTTCATTCATTCATTGAATAATTATTGATCATCTAGAACAGTGTTTCCCAAAGTGTGGTACGCGTACTCCTAGGGGTACGGGAAGAGTTTGGTGGGGGTGCACGTTGCACCGGAGTTTGGTGGGGATATGCACTGCATTGTGCTTAGCTGTGCCTAATTCTACGTTACGAAAATTATAGAAGGGGTACACATATGTCAAAAGTTTGGGAAACACTGATCTACAGAATGCCATTTGCCAGGCATTCTTCTAGATATTATAGCTACTACAGGAATGAAAAAAACAGGCAACATCATTTTTTTCATTAAACTTCCAGTTTAATGCGTGTGAATATTATTATTGAATGCAGCATCTTAAAAAAAATTTTTTTTTAAATTGATTTCAGAGAGCAAGGGGGAGAGAGATAGAAGCGTCAATGATGAGAGATAATCATTGATTGGCTGCCTACTGCATGCACCCCCAATAGGGATGGAGTCTGCAACCCGGGCATGTGCCCTGACCAGGAATTGAACTGCGATCTCCTGATTTATAGGTTGATGCCAATCACTGAGCTATGCTGGTTGAGCTAGATGGCATTTTTTTTTTTTTTTAAATAGGTCTATTGATTTCAGAGAGAAAGGGAGAGGGAGAGAAATATAAATATCAATGATGAGAGAGAGTCATTGATTGGCTGCCTCCTGCATGCCCCCTACTGGGGATTGAGCCAGCAACCTGGGCATGTGCCCTTAACAGGAATCGAACCTGGACCCTTCAGTCTGCAGGCTGAGGCTCTATCCACTGAGCCAAACCAGCTAGGGCTTAACTGCAGCTTTGATGCCTTTAAGAAGCATGGCTTTTCAAAGCTTTTACCTTTTTGAAACTTGAATGACGTATGATTAATGTACAGTATTCTTGTTTTTCTTTTTTCCTGAAAATCTTTTATTTCTTCCTGAAAAGTCTTCCTTAGATTGCTAGCCTGTCCGAGTATAGGAAATACTACTTGCATTTTGGTAGTATAAGACTTTTTAGATTTGTTTTGAAAATCATAGTGGGCTAGATTCTCCTGAGAAATTTTTTAGTTTTAAAGCCCTGCTGGATATTATTATTATTAAACTTTATTAGTTTGTCAAAATACTTGAATTTACCTCAAGACTAGATGCCAGCTACATGCTGTATTGCTGCATGCATGTTGGGATTTTAGGATTATAATGACAAACCATTAAAACAGCTTCAGAGATATTTAGAGTGTTTATTGACAACCTTTTGAGAATGTTGAAAAATGAATAAACAGAAGGAACTAATTTAATTAGGAAATCAAGATTTTAAATTATTTTATTAATTTTACTTTGTTGAATTTTTTGGGCATCTTGCCTGAAATATGCCCATGTCAAATTCCCTTTTCCTTTTCTTTGAGATACTTGGTGATAATGCTTAATAAACATTTGCTGGTTTAAAATTTACAAGAGCTTTAAATCTCTAATTCTTGAAAAAAGATGACAATTTAAGGGTCAGCATAAAAAAATACAACTCTAATATATCTAAATATATATTCATTACAAAATGCTATCTTTTCTAAAAGCTGTGTGTACATAACTTATTGAAGTTTAATAAGTATTTTTCTATGTAAAAAAAGCCCCATTGGAAATACTACCAGTGATTTTAGACTATTAAAATACAGTTAAATAAATAAAAGTAAAATACAGTTAGCTAATTTTCTCACCAAAAGCCATTCCAGGAATACTTCATTTGTTCTTGGGAGTGAGTATATGTTTGTGTTTTACATTTCTTTAATGTATGTATAGATTACATGTAGACTTTATATTTTGTTTGTCTGTTTTCAAAGGTTCGGTCTTTGTGGGCTTCAGTGAATGAAACACTCCTGTTTTTGGAAGAAGAAAGAGAAATTGTTAATTCAGTCCTTAGTCTTGCTAACCAATATACTTTAGATGGAACTAATGTTGCTATCAATGTTCCAAGGCTCTTACTTGATAAAATTGAGAAACAAATGTGTCAGGTAAGCATTTGATATTAAAGAAGCTTTTGGGATGACTCCCTTCAGTTATTTTTATATATTACATGTTGTTTTCCTTATAGTGTTTTCAAAATTTATTTTTGAGTATATCCAGTAAAATTTTTATAAACAGGGGTTCTGGTAAAGCTGTTTATCTTTTTTTATTATTATTATTTTTTATTTATATATTTTTTGTTAATCCTTATCCGAGGATATTTTTCCATTGAGTTTTAAGAGAGTGAAGAAAGGGGAAGAGACAGAGAGAAACATTGATGTGAGCGAGACACATCAATTAGTTGCCTCCTGCCCTTACATAACTAGGGCCAAGGATCGAGCCTGCAACCTAAGTATGTGCTCTTGACCTGATTTGAACCTGGGACCCTTCAATCCACAGGTCGACACTCTATCCACTGAGCTAAACCAGTTAGGGCAAGGCTGTGTATCTATATCCATCAACTTTTATTAATTGTCCATACCTTGTATGGTGTTACATCATACATAGTGTAGAGAATAGGAAGTTATTTAGGAAGATGATATGGTACTTTTAGTTCTTTACAAATTCTCACATAGAACAACAATGGTCTCCTGATTGCTAACTGTCTTCTTGAAAAGGCTCTATTCTCTCTGCTTTCTCTTTCATCTTTTTTTTTTTCTTTTTTTTTTCTCTTTCATCTTGATGCTATTAGTATTTCAGATTTTTTTCTTCCTTTAGCTTTTGTGATTTCAATTTCTCTGCTCTCTGGTTTTTCAGATTGCTGTTTTCAGTATTTTCACCGATTCCTTTTCCTCTGCTTGACTTTTAAATCAAAGTGCTCCCATGATTCCTTTTGTTTTTCTTTTACATTTTTTTATTAAATTATTATCTGTGTACATATTTTAACATTGCCCCCCTCACACATTCCCATGATTCCTTTAATGTCCTCCTTCCTTTCCCACATTATAAATTCATGTGTATTTTCTTTTCTTTCTTTCTTTTATTTTTTTTTTCTTTTTTTTTTTTAAATATATTTTATTGATTTTTTACAGAGAGGAAGGGAGAGAGATAGAGAGCTAGAAACGTCGATGAGAGAGAAACATCGACCAGCTGCCTCCTGCACACCGAAACCAAGGTACATACCCTTGACCGGCATCGAACCCGGGACCTTTCAGTCTGCAGATCAGCGCTCTACCATGAGCCAAACTGGTTTCGGCTCATGTGTATTTTCTTAACCAATTCTATTGCTTTATCAGCTTCCTATATTAATATCCTCAAATTGGTATTTCCAGCCTCTCCTTTAATCCAAGCTACATCAAGTTATTTCCACTTGCTGTCTGGCTGGTGGCTCAGATGGTTGGAGCATAGTCCATCCCGTACACCAAAAGGTTGCAGATTTAATTTATGATCAGGGTACATACCTAGGTTGTGGGTTTGATCCCTGGTGGGGGGGTACTGGAGGCAAACAATTGATGTTTCCCCCTTCTCCTATCTCTCAAATCAATGAACGTATCAAAAAAAAAAAAAGTTAAAAGAAATTATTTCCACTTGCTTATGGGACACTTCATCTGGATAGCCTACTTTAAAAAAAAAAAATGAAACTTACAATTTATTAAGGATTTACTATATGTTAGGTATTGATTATAGTACGATTAAAATATTGTGACCCTGAAGAGTTTTCATAGGTAACATGACAGGCACTTCACATTCAGAGCACATAAAAATTGGGATCTGCGAGTCCTAGAAGGACTAGGCAGATAGTGTGTATAAATGAAGTACATTAATTGTGTGTAACAGGATAAAGTGGGAAGTGATGAGGTCTTTGGAAAATAGTAATTTTTAAAAACCTTGTTAAATATATTTTTTATTGTTGATAATGTTACAGTATTTCCCATTTCCCCCGACTCCCCTTAACCTCCTCTCAGCTGGTACCCCTATTCCCCCCCCCCCCCCCCCCCCCCCCGAGGTCTTCACTACCCTATTGCCCATATCCATGGGCTATGCTTATAAGTATATAAGTTCTTTGATTTATCTCTTCTCATCCCCCAAACTCTACATCGAGTATGTCAGTCTGTTCCATACCTCCATGTTTTGGGTAGAGAAATAGTAATTTTTATGTGAAATCTATGATTAAAGATATTGGCAAATAATTAAAATGATTTTTTTTTTGTTAATCCTCCTCCAAGGATATTTTTCCATTGATTTTTAGGGAGAGTAGAAAAGAGAGGGAATGATGGAGAGAAACATGGATGTGAGAGAAACACATCCATTGTTTGCCTCTTGAATGAGCCCTGAGCAGGGCCAGGGAGGAACCTGCAACCATGGTACATGCCCTTAACTGAAATCAAACCCTTTGATCTGCAGGCTGATGTTCTATCCACTGAGCCAAAACTGGCTAGAGCCAAATGATTTTAAAATACTGGAACTATGTAGGCCAAAAATCATGTCTAAGTTTGGATTTAGCTTGTAGGTACCATCAATTTGCAGCTATTGTTAAAACATAATTTATCATACATGGGTTTGGATTTATGGCAGGCCCATCCCCTTGGGTCTTCAATAGTGCCCCATGCCAGAGCAAACTGTGGCCTTGGACCATTGCCTGGCCTCAGCCTCTAGGCTGCAGGAACTGAAGCCAGTTCCACAGTGTTAAAAAAAAACCAACAAAACAAGACATGAATTTGTAATCTTTCTCCAAATCTGCTCTTTTTTCCTTAATCTTGCTTTCATTTATTTGCATTTCTTTCATTCTAGTTTTCAACTTTTTACATGTAGTATGGCATGTTAATTGTTCCACAACAGTTTTCTTTGGACCAAAATTATTTACATAGTGTTATTTTTGGAGTAGACTTTTAACTTTTTTTTATTCTATATGGTAACCTTTTATTATAATAGTAAAACATATAAGTATGTTTATAGAGTAGTTTATTATGCTAAGAACTTATAGTTTACTACTTTTCTCCCCCTTTTTACCTTTAGTTACACATAGGAAATGTTTATGAGACTGGGAAATTGAACCTGTTGACAGTTATTCAGTTATTAAATGAAGTCTTGAAAATAATGAAATATGAATGTTGTCAGGCTGACCAAGCAAAACTGACAATGGACCTTTGCTTCCTTGAAAAAGAGACCAAATTACAGAGAGAAAGATTATTGGATCTGCAGCATATGAGGTACACTAGTAAGATTCTCTGTTATTTTATTAGGTGAGGAGTAGAATGGTTTTAATAAATTCTCAGCACAGCTCATGTAGTTTAACAACTCTTTAGCTTTGGCAAACAAGTGTGAACATTTTACTAGTACTCAAAACCCTGTCGTTAGCTTTCAGAGAGACACATGAAGTAGAAAGGAAAATTAATGTAATTTTCTTTATGTCTGAAATATATTATTTGCTGAGTGATAATTCTTTATGAAATAATTTTAACTTTTCTATCGCTTTTCTTTTGTGGGATCTACTAATAAAACTAGGGCTCAGGCCTACCTGGTTTGGCTCAGTGGATGGAGCATTGGCCTGTGGACTGAAGGGTCCCGGATTCAATTCCAGTCCAGGGCACATGCCCAGGTTGTGGGCTTGATCCCCAGTAAGGTGTGTGCAGGAGGCAGCCAACCAGTAATTCTCTCTCATCATTGATGTTTCTATCTCTCCCTGTCCATTTCTCTCTATAATAATAAAAAAAAAAAAGTAATCTAGAGAAATTAAATTAAAAAAAACAAAACAAAACTAGGGATCAGAAAAGTTTTTTATTTGAGCAGAGTGACTAAGAGGTATGGGCTATCTTTAGGCATGGACAGGACAGATAAGGGGAGTAAAATTTCGATTCGAGTTCAAAACTAGGAAATAAATTGTATTTTATTTATTGATTGAAATGTTTTTGCCTGGATATTGTGACTCAATGGTTGAGTGCCAACCTAGGAACCAGGAAGTCGCCTTTCAATTCCCGATCAGATTTCAGATTCAGTTCCCAGTAGGGGGTGTGTAGGAGACAGCTGATAAATGATTCTCTCATCATTGATGTTTCTCTCCTCTCTCTTTCTTTCTGAAATGAAGGGAGAGGGAAAGAGAGAAAGGAAGAAATATAGGTGCGAGAGAGAAACATTGATTAGTTGCCTCTGTACACATCCAGACTCGGGTTTGAACCCACAACCTGGGCATGTGCCCTGACCAGGAATGGGACCAGTGACCTTTTGGTACATGGGACTATGGTCAACCAACGGAGCCATACCGCCCAAGGTTGGAAGAAAATTGTAATTTAAAGATAAATGGAGTAATAAATGTACTATTGCTTTCTTATTTATTTGTTTTTATTTTATTTTTTTAAATCTTTGTTTTTGGAAGTATTACACAGGTCTTCCACCCTCCCGCCCTGCCCATAACTTCTTTTGGCCACTCTGCCTTTCTCCTACCACAGGCCCTCACCACCCCATTGTCTTGTGTCCATAATTATTTTTAGAGAGGAAGAGAGATAAAAACATTGATGAGAGCAACACATTGATTGCTGCCCCTAACAGTTATTCAGTTATACAGTGGAGTCTTGAATGGAGCCCAGAACCCAGGCATGTGCCCTGACTGGAAATCGAACTCAGAACTTGGTTTATGGAATGATGCTCAATCCACTGAGCCACTCCAGTTGGGCTATTATTACTTTCTAGTCTTTTTTTTTTTTTTTTTTAATATATTATTAATTTTCACAGAGAAGAAGGGAGAGGGATAGAAAGTTAGAAACATGGATGAGAGAGAAACATTGATCAGCTGCTTCCTGCACATCTCCCACTGGGGATGAGCTCACAACCAAGGTACATACCCTTGACCGGAATCAAACCTGGGATCTGTCAGTCCGCAGGCCGATACTCTATCCACTGAGCCACACCAGTTAGAGCTACTTTCTAGACTTATAAAGAAAAGTATTTTAGGTTCTGAGTGTTTGTGAGAGTTCATTCAACTTATATGTGCTATATTGACTTTCTTTCCTTTTTTTTTTTTTAAGATATATTTTATTGATTTTTTTACAGAGAGGAAGGGAGAGGGATAGAGAGTTAGAAATATCGATGAGAGAGAGCTGCTTCCTGCACACCTCCTACTGGGGATGTGCCCGCAAGCAAGGCATATGCCCTTGACTGGAATCAAACTGAGACCCTTCAGTCCGCAGGCCAGTGCTCTATCCACTGAGCCAAACCAGTTAGGGCTTTCTTTCCTTTTTCTACAAACTTCTTAAATTTTACTCAATACTTTTTTTATGTATTTATGTTTTGAACAGTTATTTTTATTCTATTATAGGCATAAATTAGAAGAAGATCTTACAACTGTAAAACATTCTATTGTTGAAAAACAAGGAAAATGGCATAAAAAGTGGAAAGAATTTCTTGGTTTGTCTCCTTTTAATCTAATTAAAGGTTGGACTCCAGTAAGTAATATTGACTTGCCTTTTGCCTTCTTCAGTGTTTTTTTTCTTTTCTTTATTGATTACGGTATTACATATGTATCCTATTTCCCATGGTCCTCCCACCCTTCCCACTCATGCCCTCACCCCCCCTATTGTCTGTGTCCATTGCTTAGGCTTATATGCATGCATATAAGTCCTTGGATTGATCTCTTCCCTTACCCTCCCTCTCCCCTACCTTCCCTCTGAGGTTTGACGGTCTGATTGATGTTTCTCTGTTTCTGGATTTGTTTTTGTTCATCAGTTTATCTTGTTCATTATATTCCATAAATGAGTGAAGTCATGTGATATCTTTCTCTGACTGGCTTATTTCACTTAGCATAATGCTCTCCAGTTCCATCCATGTTGTTGCAAATGTTAAGAATTCCTTCTTTCTTATAGCAGCATAGTATTTCATTTTGTAGATGAACCACATTTTTTAATCCACTCATCTGCTGATAGGCACTTAGGCTATTTCCAAGTCTTAGCTATTAGTTAATTGTGCCCCTATGAACATAGGGGTGTATATATCCTTTCTGATTGGTGTTTCTAGTTTCTTGGGGTATATTCCTAGAAGTGGGATCACTGGGTCAAATTCCATTTTTAGTTTCTTGAGGAAACTCCATACTGTTCTCCACAGTGGCTGCACCAGTCTGCATTCCCACTAGCAGCGAAGGATGGTTCCTTTTTCTCCGCATCCTCACCAGCACTTGTCTTTGTTGACTTATTGATGATAGCCATTCTGACATGTGTGAGATGGTACCATATTGTCGTTTTGATTTTCATCTCTTGGATGATAAGTAACTTTGAGCATGTTTTCATATGTCTCTTGGCCTTCCTTATGTCCTCTTTTGAAAAGTCTCTAGCTAAGTCCATTGCCCTTTTTTTTTTTTTAATAAATGAGTAAATTCCTTTTTTTTTAATATATATTTTTATTGATTTTTTTACAGAGAGGAAGGGAGAGAGAAAGAGGTAAAAACGTCGATGAGAGAGAAACATCGACCAGCTGCCTCTTGCACACCCCCTACCGGGGATGTGCCCGCAACCAATGTACATGCCCTTGACCGGAATTGAACCTGGGACCTTTCAGTCCGCAGACCAACGCTCTACCACTGAGCCAAACTGGCTTCGGCTCATTGCCCATTTTTTGATTGGGTTGTTTATCTTTCTTTTAAGTTGTATGAGTTCCCTGTAAATGTTGGAGATTAAACCCTTATTGGTGATAACATTGGCAAAAATGTTCTCAAATGCAGTGAGCGGGCTTTCTTGTCGTTTTGTTGATGGTTTCTTTTGCTGTGTTTTGTTTTTAATTTTTCTGTTATAGTTGGCATACAATATATTAGTTGCAGGTATACACATAGTGTTTAGACATCTATATGACCTATGAGGTGATCATCTGTATAAATCTAGTATCTATCTGACACTGCACATAGTTATTATAATATTGACAATATTCTCTATGCTGTCTTTTATATCCCCAATACTATTTTGTAACTACCAATTTGTAATTCTTAATTTCTTTCCCTTTTCACCCATCTCTCCTACCCTCCCTCCTATCTGGTTACCATCAAAATGTTCTCTATATCTTAGAGTTTGTTTCTGTTTTGTTCGTTCATTTGGTTTTTCAGATACTATATTTAAGTGAAATCATATGGCATTTATCTTTTTCTGACTTATTTCACTTAGCACAGTATCCTTTAGATCCATCCATGTTGTTACAGATGGCAAGATTTCATTATTTTAAAAAATATATATATTTTATTGATTTTACACAGAGAGGAATTGAGAGGGATAGAGAGTTAGAAATATCAATGAGAGAGATACATCGACCAGCTGCCTCTTGCACACCCCCACTGGGGATGTGCCCGCAACCAAGATACGTGCCCTTGCCCGGAATCGAACCCGGGACCCTTCAGTCTGCAGGCCGATGCTCTATCCACTGAGCCAAACCGATTTCTGGCAGATTTCATTATTTTTTATGACTTAAGTCATATATGCACTACTTTAAAAAAAAAAAATTCATTTCAGAGAGGAAGGAAGAGGAGGAGAGAGAGAAACATCAATGATGATAATCATTGATTGGCTGCCTCCTGCACACTCCCCACTGGGATCAAGCCTGCAACCTGGGCATGTGCCCTTGACCGGATTTAAACCTGGGACTCTTTAGTCCTCCGGTCAACACTTTATCCACTGAGACAAACTGGCTATGATTATAGCCTTTGTTTTAAAGTCTATTTTGTCTTGTATAAGTATTGATACCTCAGCTGTTTTGTTTTTGTTTTTATTTTCATGAAGTTTCTTTTCCATCCCTTGACTTTCAGTCTGTGTGTGTCTATCTGAAGTGAGTCTCTTATAGGCAGCATATGTAAGGGTCTTTTTGTTCTTATCTATTAAACTACTTATGTCTTTTGATTGGAGTATTTAAGTCATTTATAATTAAAGTAATTATTGGTAGATATGTAGTTATTGTCATTTTACTATTCAGTCTTTTTTTTTTTTTTCTCTCTATCTTAAAGAAATCCCTTAAACATTTCTTGTAATACTGGTTTGGTGGTGATAAACTCCTTTAGCCTTTTCTTGTCTGGGATTGACTTGGCTTTTGAAGATTAGTTTAATATAAGGCAATCTCTTGATTTATCATGTTACAGAATAACCTAGAAATGTTGTGTGTACCATTCTGTCATTTTGCATTTGAGCCTAAAGATCAAATATTTGGTTTCTGTAATTCTAAATACATATTAGAGTAGTAGAGTGGCTGTTGTGATTTATAATAGTTAGTATTTTTAGATTCAGAGAATTGTATTAAAAAGTGAGATGTTCCTCTTGATGTTAGAAATACTATTACATTTGAAATATAGCTGAAGGACAAAGTAGTCTCCTTGTTCCTAATATAGTACTCCTTGTTTTACTTTTTATTTATTTATTTTTTAGTACTCCTTGTTTTAAAAATAATTATAGGATAATTTATATGCATAGTAATTCTGTCTTTGTTGGGATCAACCAGTCAAAGATTAACTTAACATTGTTACGTGGTAGTGAGTAATATGTATATGTTTCAAATTATGAATTCTTTGTTTTAAGGCTGTGGATCTTTTACCACCTATGTCTCCCCTTTCCTTTGATCCTGCCTCCGAGGAAGTATATGCAAAAAGTATTCTTTTGCAGTATCCTGCTTCACTTCCAGGTTAGTTATTTTTTCTCTTTTAAATTTCCCTCTCATTAATATTTCTCACTATGATAATTGTTCCTTTACATTCTTTTTCCCTGTTATTTTTCATTTTGATGAAATGCACGTCATTTCACTATTGTAGTGTGTATCTCAGTGGTATATTGTAAATTCAAAGTTGTGCCATCACCACTATCTAATTCCAAAGGAGTCTTATTACTTCAAAAGGAAATCTTGTATCTATGAAAAGTCACTCTCCATTTCCACCTCCCCCAGTTCCTAACAACCACTAATGTATTTCATGTCTCTTCTAGGATCCTGGTGCACAACATTTGTACATGGTGGGGGCGGAGGTCCCTCAGTCTGCCCTGTACCCTTTCCAATTTGGGACCATGTCCTAAACTGTCAGTATCCCTCTCGCAATCCAGGACCGCTGGTTTCTAACTGCTCACCTGCTTGCCTGCCTGATCACCTCTAACTGCCTCAGCCTGTTGGCCTGATCATCCCCTAACTGCTCTCATGTCGGCCTGATTGCCCCTAACCCCCTCTGCCTCACCCCTGCCATTGTGGCTTTGTCCAGAAGGACATGCAGAAGATGTTTGGTCTAATTAGCATATTATCCTTTTATTAGTATACATGCATTTGCCTATTCTGGATATATTGTATAGGTAGAGTCTGGTTTTTCTCATTTGTATAGTTTTCTACTTTGCACAGTGTTTTCAAGGTTCTTCCAAGTTGTAGCATCATTATTTTATTTTATTTTTTTTAATGCTCACCCAAGGACATTTTTTGCATTGATTTTTAGAGATTGGAAGGGAGGGGGAGAGACACAGATAAACACCAATGTGAGAGAGACACTTTGATTGGTTGCTTTCTGCATACCCTTGACCAGAGCTAGGAGGCTGCAACTGAGGTATATGCCCTTGACTGGAATTTTACTGGGATCTTTCAGTCTACAGTCCGATGCTCTATCCACTGAGTCAAACCGGCTAGGGGGTACTTAATTACTTTTATGAATAATTCTATTGTATGATTTAAGTCATATTTTGCTTTTTTTTGTCTATTGATGGAAATTTGGATTGTTCCACCATTTAGCTATTCTATATAATAAAGTCTAATATGCAAATTGACCAAATGGTGAACGCACTATGATGTGCATTGACACCAGTGGGTAGACACTCAACACAGGAGCTTCCCCTAATGGTCAGTGTACGCCCACAGGAGAAGCACCACTCAGCCAGAAGCCGGGCTCACAGCTGGCAATGCTAAGGATGTCTGACTACTGGCCTTGGCCCACTCCCCACAGCCATCAGTCGGAAATCCCCTGAGGGCTCCTGGACTGCGAATTTCGTGCACCAGGCCTCCAGTTATGAATAATACTGCTATAAACATTCGTTTACAAGTTTTTGTGTAGAAACCCACAATTTTTTAACATGAAAGAGTGGTATAGTAATTACCTCAATATTTACAGTCTGTTTTAACAATTAACATTTATCATATTTGCTTTACTAGTAAATGTATATATTTGTGCTTTTGCTAACCCAAGTAAATTCTAGACAGTTAAAATACTTTTAGCTGTAACCAGTTTGGCTCAGTGGATAGAGTGTCGGTCTGTGGACTGAAAGGTCCCAGGTTCGATTCCTGTCAAGGGCATGTATATTGGTTGTGGGTGCATCCCCAGTGGGGGGGTGTGCAGGAGGCAGCTGGTTGATGTTTCTCTCTCATCGACGATTCTAGTTCTCTATCCCTCTCCCTTCCTCTCCATGGAAAATCAATAAAATATATTTAAAAAAATACTTTTAGTGTTTTAGCTTACTTTCCCATAGAGTGATATTCTATATAACTACCATAATAATATCACACCTAAAAATGAATAATCTTATCTAATAAAAGAGTAATATGCAAATTGACTGTCATTCCAACACACAAGATGGCTGCCCCCATGTGGACACAAGATGTCCACCAGAAGATGGCCAGCAGAGGAGGGCAGTTGGGGAGCGGGGCCAGCCTTGCGAGGGAGGGCAGTTGTGGGAGATCAGGCCAGCAGGGGAGGACAGTTAGGGGTGACCAGGCCAGCAGAGGAGGGAAGCTGGGGGCAACCAGGCCTGCAGGGAAGGACAGTTGGGAGGGACCCAGGCCTGCAGGGGAGAGAAATTAGGGGTGACTAGGCTGGCAGAGGAGGGAGGCTGGGGGGCGACCAGGCCTGCAGGGAAGGGCAGTTAGGGAAAATCAGGCTGTCAGAGGAGCAGTTAGGAATCAGGCTGACAGGGGAGTGGTTAGGGGGTGATCAGGCTGGCAGGCAGAAGCGGTTAGAGGCAATCAGGAAGGCAGGCAGGCAAGCAGTTGGGAGCCAGAAGTCCTGGATTGTGAGAAGGATTTCCGACTGCCATTTAGGCCTGATCCTACCAGGATCATGCACCGGGCCTCTAGTTTCATTATAATTAGTAGCTGTAAAAGCAGAGATATTGAAAATGTTATAAGTTGGTATACTATTATGATGGATTAAAAGGAAAAGTTTATATAGTGCACATTGGCTCTTATATAGTAACACTTTGGACACGGGTATAAACAGGATCTAACATGTTGAAAGAAGAGGAGCTCCTGGAATATCATCCTCTGTAATCTAGCAATGGCTTTCTTACCAGTTTCATTCTTACCATGCTTCCACTACATATACCCTATTCTCTTGCATACCAAACTTGTATCTTATTCTCCTAGCAATTTAGTGCCTTCTTCATGTTTCCTTCGTCTAGGTCAGATGCCTTTCTGCTTTCCTGCATTCTGTGTATACTCTGTCATAATACCGTAGTAATATACCACAATTCTCTGCTTATCAATTTGCTCTTCTATACTAACTCCTTGAAGGCAGGCCTCCATCATTTCTTTCTTCCATTGTTAGTTCAGCAGTGGCATGTAGTTCTTGGTGCTTGTTGAAGAATAAATATTCTTCTAATAAATGTACTTCTAATATAGATGCTGGGCTGAAATATGCTAAGAACTTTATCTTTTTTGCTTTGCTGGTTTACATGGTAATTGTATAGTTTGTGTACTTAAATATGAATCATGACTAATAATGCTGGAGAAATATAGACTGTCCCTTTTGGAAACAGTATAAACTATCGATCTTTTTATTTTTTTATTTTTTTTCTATGCATTTTTAATTAATTAATTAATTAATTAATTTAAAAATCAATCTTTATTGTTTATATTATTAAAAAGATTCCTCATTTCTTCCCCCCTCCACCAGGTTCCCACCCTACCCTCCCCAACCCCCACTGTCCTCATCCCTTCCTCCCTCCATTCGCCCCCCCCCAACAGTCAGTCCACTCCCCTCCCATATCACTGACTCTACTACAATGAACAGCTATTATTGTTCATCAGGTTTTTCAATCTCCTTTTTTTGTTGTGTTGTTGTTTTTTTAATTAATAACCTTTTACACTTCTAAGAATAAATTTTAAAATCTAATAATTTTAAACCTTGTTTTTTTTGTTGTTTTTTTTTTCCCTGTCCTAGGAATTGAGAGCAAACTTGTTTACATGTAAACTTGCCCTTAGGCTATCAAAAGGTGTAGCCATTCAAGTGTAAATGAACACATTGTTTAAACATAGCTGCTGGTTGGAATTGGATTACCTGTTCTGGGTGGGAAAGGCTTGTCATTCCCTTTCTCCATTAAAATTAAGGTGTTAGCTTTAAAACCTCTTTTTTGCAAGAGACCTTAAACTTTCAAAACTTTAAGTTTTTCAGATAGTAAATCAGTTACTTAGCATTTTCTCAAATCAATAATACCTCCACATGCCCAAGGATACACTTCACACAAAAGACATTTCCAAATAGATCAACCAATCTCATCCAGGCCCCACACAAGGCACTCACAGATCAACACTCCAGCGCTATACTAACTCAACACATCCAGATCTAAGCCTTTCTCACTTGATTCAGCAGACCCTCAAGTTCCCCCAAAAGTTTCCAGCCATGTCTGAGAGGCAGCCTTGAGGCGGGGGCAGGCGAGGATCCAGCTGTTCCGGGCCTGGCCTCTGTTGCTCTGGTCTATTCCACAATCAGCTGCTCCGGGTCTGGCCACTGCCGCTCCCGCCCTGGCTGCTCTGGGCCTGGACGCTCCGGGCCTGGCCGCTCCCAGCCTGGCATCTGCTGCTCCGCGCCTGTCCGCTCCTGACCCGGCTGCTCTGGGCCCAGCCGCTCCAGGCCTGGCCGCTCCCGACCTGGCCACTCCCGACCTGGCTGCTCCAAGCATGGTTGCTGCTGTTCTGTGCCTGGCTGTTCCCGACCCGGCTGCTCTGGGCCTGGCTGCCTTGGGCCCGGCCTCTCCGAGCCTGGCAGTTCCCGGCCTGTATGCTCCGGGTTTGGTTGCTGCTGTTCTGGGTCTGGCTGCTCCCAACCCGGCTGCTCTGGGCCCGGCTTCTCCGGACCCGGCCACTCCAGGCCTGGGTGTTTCTGGACTGGCCACCCTGGGCTTGGCCGCCTCTGCCTCAGGCCTGGCTGCCACTGTCCCAGGTCTGGCTGCTCCAGGCCTGGCTGTTGCTGCTCTGGTTCTGGCTGCTGCTGCTCTGGGGCCTGGCTGTTGCTGCTCCGGGCCCGGCTGCCACTGCCTTGTGCCTGGCCACTCTAGGCCTGTCCACCGCCGTTCCAACATTTTGTCCTTTTTTTTTTTTTAAACGCATTTATGTTGCAATGTTGGCTGCTGAGTTGAGTTCTGACTTAATCTTTGATTTTTCAAGATCTTCTTTGTAATCTTTCTTAAGTAATTTTACTATCTTTTGCTCTCACTTGATTTCTTCACATTGAAAACTTCTTTGGTTTCTTCCTCCTTGTCCTGGAAGCTCAGCAGGTTGGCCTATGGCACCCCTTTGTTCTCCGCGGGCTCCTGCGCTGCTTCAGTCTATTGCCGGGGTTGGTGCCACCCAGGAAGCAGCCCCCGGCCTCAGCTCCGTGGCCCACGCTCAGCAGTCGAAGGCCCAGGGGCACCCCCCCTCCCCCCGGGGGCCCCGTCGCCCGGCTCCTTGCTGGCGCCTGGCTGGCCGGTGTCGGTGTCCGGCAGGGACTCCTGCTCCTCGTCGCGTTCCTCCAGTTTGGAGCATTTTTTCTCCTTCCCGCTAGGGGAGTCTAGCATCAGAGTCAATAGACTGTCCTCTGCGCGTAATGTGCGAGACTCCGGGGGCTCCGCTTTTCGCCGCTCCCCTGGGGTTCTGCCTCACAGCCCTGTCTTCCCCTGCCCGAGCCTGGGTCTCCAGGGTCTGGCCCATAACTGGGGTTCAGTGCTGCCGGTTCTGGGGTTCAGCCCAGGCCGGGGGTCCTCTCAGCATGTCTCTGTACCTTAGGCTTTTTCAGCTCCTCTGATTTTCCTTCTGGTTTTCTCTTTCCTTCTTGTTGTAGAATTTTCAGTCAGTCGACTACCTGTAGCTCTGGGCAATGTCCACTCTACATTTTAGTTGTGTTCCATTGAAATTGTTGTGTGCTGCTGCGGTTAGGTGTCTACCTGAGCAGCCATCTTGGATCCTCCCTCCCTATCGATCTTTTTAGAAAAGACTATTAATAGATATTCTCTATCACTGTCCTGCCTATCACTTTATACTTGACAATTGAATAGTTGTGTTTTCTTGTTAGAATATGTATTATTTTGATTTTTTTGGTTATTTTTGTTTAAGTTGTAAAATTTCAAGAGATCCTTGAATATTAGAATGTAAAAACATAAATAGTAATTCATTTTTCTGTTCCTTTAGATACACCCAAACAGCATAACCAGGAAAATGATTGTAGAAGAGCCAGTGATATACTGGGAACTGTATATGATTTAACCAACAGGTAAAACAAAATGATTTTCATATTGATTTTCTTCCCCCTTTGTTAATTAATAGTCCCATCTTTAGCCAGTTTCCAAGCTTTTTTAATGTACGAGAGTCCATACTTTTCTTAAACAGACAGTATTTTTCCACTGCAAGTCTATATTTTTTGGAAAGATTCAACATTTCTGATACATAGGCATATTTTTTTTCTTTATAAAACTGTTGGGATGTATGGGAATCATCTCATTTTTATGAAAAACATATGTGGAGATTATCTAATGCAAGTTTGGGAATTTGAATTTTTGGTTTTTGTTGTCTGTGAACTTCTTTGAAACCACTTTAGCTCTTGACTAAATCCAAGAGTTTAAGTATCTTTGAGATCATCCACTTCGTAATCTTCAGCCTGTATTCTGAAGTACCTTCTGGTTTCTGTGATTGAATCTAATTCAGCCTATTGGCAGTCCCACTTTTCCCACTTCAACCTGAGCAGATTGCTCTTTTATCTCTATTATATGTTGGGATTTTTATATGCCATCTGATAAAAAGTTCATTCTTTTAAACAAAGAAAAACTTATGATTCATTCAAATCCCATAATTTAACATATGAAAAACTGAACCTACTTAATTTGTTTGTAACTTCAGGAGTATTCTTATGTTTTTAATGCCTTTTTTTTTCTGTTATCCCTTTTTGGCCCTTAAAACTGATGCCAGATTATGTAAGTGGGGGGGGGGGGAGGATAAATAATATATATACACACGGTATATATATATTTTTTTTCTTCTTTTTTTTTCTTTTTAAATCCTTATCTGAGGATCTTTTCCCATTATTTTTAGAGAGAGTGAAAGAGAGAGGAAGAGAGAGAGATACATTGATTGGTTGCCCCCCTGCTTGTGCCCTACCCACGGCCAGGGATTGAGTCTGCAACCAAGGTACGTGCCCTTGACCCGAATTGAACCCAGAACCCTTCAGTCCACAAGCAACTCTCTATCTACTGAGCCAAACCAGCTAGGGCTATAAGCAGAAATCTTTAAACTAAATGTATTCTCCGCAATGTACTTGGGGAATATATATATATTTTTAATTGGAATTAAGCATTAAATAGCAGTCAAATACAGATATATTCCTTTGGGAATAGCCTTTGGAAAGACATAGTCTTTTTCTTCAAGGAGCTCACCATCTCATCTTGGCATCTTGGTGGCCTTGGTGCCTAGATTATTGGACTTTCTTCACAGAGCTTTTGGTCATTTTAATGTTGAATTTTTGGAATAATTAAGATAAAATTGCAATAGATAGTTAATTTTTTGCCTTTGATATATAGATTATATTCTGTTTACGTGAAGCTGAAATGAGCAATTTCAGTGGTTTTGAATTGTTTGGAAGGAGCATATTTGCTTTTTTATAAAATATTTGCAAATATTAATTTTTTATTTCTGGCTATGAACAGAAAGTAAAGCACTGACATTTAAAAAAAAATATATATATATATTTGTATTGATTTCAGAGAGGATGAGAGAAGAGGGAGAGAGAGATAGAAACATCAATGATAGCCGAAACTGGTTTGGCTCAGTGGATAGAGCGTCGGCCTGCGGACTAAAAGGTCCCGGGTTTGATTCCGGTCAAGGACACGTACCTTGGTTGTGGGCACATCCCCAGTAGGGAGTGTGCAGGAGGCAGCTGATAATATGATTCTCTCTCATCGATGTTTCTAACTCTCTATCCCTCTCTCTTCCTCTCTGTAAAAAATCAATAAAATATATTAAAAAAAAGAAACATCAATGATAGAGAATCATTGTTTGGTTGCCTTCTGCATGTCCCACACTGGGGATCGAGCCTGCAACCTGAGCATATGTCCTGTCTGGGAATTGAACCCTGACCTCCTGGTTTATAGGTTGATGGGCAACCACTGAGTCATGCAAGCCAGGTGCACTGACATGGTTGATGTTGAAAAGTGGTCTCTTGTAATCCTGCCTTTCATATAACCTAGAATAGAAAAGCTTTTGGACATAAGAAGACCCAGTCCGTGAATGAATTTGAAAGTTCTTTTAAGATGAAGATAAAGTTGTCAGTGCTTAAAGGCTTTAGAAATTTAATAACTTATTTTATAATTATAATAAAAAGATACATAAGGTTTTTAAAAAAAATATGTTTATTGATTTTTTTTTTTTTTAATAGAAAGGAAGGGAAAGAGATAGAGAGATAGAAACATCAATGAGAGAGCAACGTTATCTATCAGCTCCCTTCTACACCCCCTACCGGGGATTGAGCCCAAAAACTGGGTTTATGCCCTGACCGGGAATTGAACCAGCGACCTTTTTGTTCATGGGTCAACATTTAATCACTTAGCCACACTGGCTGGGCAAGATCATAAGGTTTTCATATTTATTCAAAGGAGCAAGGGAATCTTAAGAGATTAAAGAATACAATGTGTAGAATGTAACAAAGTGAATAATCTTATGACTATTGTTAGTATAACATATTTGCTATAGAGCAAAATTCAGCGTAAGAGATATTTATTTTAGTCATGAAATATCAAAAGAATCTGAAAGTCTCTGTTACAATGAAATTTTGTGATCTAAAGATTGAGGATGTTATAATAATGGCAATCTAGTTGATTGAATTTGTCTTACCCTTTATTCAAGTTTTTGAGTGTTCATTAAATAATTTAACCCTTGTAAAAAATGCTGATGACTTAAAATATATAGCAGGTAACGCAAATATTTATAATTTGGGAGGCTGATACACAAATTGAGCTGCAGTACTGCTCTATTGTCATTATACCTCCTAGAATAAACTGCCTTTTGATGACTGGGACGAATTGAGAGAAATCGTAACGGACAGATACGGGGCAGACAGTTTTTTAAGAATATTCAGATATATAAAGTGTATGGGATTCTTTCATACTCATAACTTGGATTTGTTTTATTTTTCCTTTAGCCCTGCTTCTTCCCTGTTTCATCCAGTTTCATCAGATAGAAACAGTGTTACAATATTTGAAAAGGTAAATTTTAAAACAATTTTTAATTCTGATCATACTTAGGATAAAATATTATTCATTTTTGTTGATACCCCAATTAAATTAAAATTTTATTTTCACATTTCTCAGTATTTGTATATTATGTACTGTTTCTATTAACAATTCCCTGTTGCTTCTATAGGGGATTATTGGAATTATTTAATTGTGCCAGTGAACATATAATTAATTTCACAATAATGTTAACAAACTTTTATATGTTCATGTTAATTCAAGAACCTCTAATGAAAATCAGGTGCAGTTATTAAGGTTTTAACGTATGTCTGTCTTCTTCAGGACATGAAGATTGGAACATCTAGAGAAAAAACTGAAACAATTTCTAAGAAAACATCAGAGTGTGAAGGAGAAGACTTTCCACCGTCATATATTGCAAAGAAAACAGAGAGTAGTGCATTAGGAGGGCCTCTGCCGGTTAAAAAAATTGATCCATTCCAGAAAGAGCAAGATCACTTGGCAGAGGAGGTTAGAAAAAGATTGTAAAAAGTATACTGAAATATCTATTTTCTCTATAGTGATGTGATTGAAAATGAAGTACAGTTAATTAGTGATTTACTGGGGGAAATTTGGGGAAGGAGATCACAGATAATAAAAGTCATGGTTAAAGCAAAATTGTTCCTCGCAAAAGTAGAAATAGATTTCATATAAACTTACTTAGTTAAGATTACCTCCATGGTTTAGAGCTCATGTCCCATCCTATAAATATTCAAAAGTATAAAAATAATAACATGTATGCTATTTTTGGAGCTAACCATTAAATCTCAGTTGTTGGGTAAATATACCCAATGGTTATGCTCTATTAAAATACTTCATGAATATTGTCCGTTACTTATCTAAGCTTCCTCTCTTTTTGAATATTAGAACAAAATATTATCACTGAGCAAAGTTTTTGTCCTGCTTTCTAAGTATTTCAAAATAATTAACTACATCATTATTAATGATCTAGGTTTTCCTAAATTAGTGCTGTTCTACTTTTTATTGACAGGTGACCCCAGTGTTACTATTGTTCAGTAATATTACAGAGCCCAGTTTATACAAATGCTGCTTAAGCATTTTCTAATGTCATTTTTATTCCAGTCTCCCACAACAGCTCTTAGCATCGTTTGAATTGAGATAAGCATTCAGAGAATAAATCAGCTGTTGAGAGACTAAAATAAAAATTTGGTTTAGTACTCTTTTTTAAAAATATATATAGTTTATTTTTCCATTGATTTTTTAGAGAGAGTGGAAGGGAAGGGGAGAGACAGAGAAACATCGATGTGAGAGAGACACATCAATTGGTTGCCTCCTGCATACTCCCGACCAGGCCTGGAGAACCTGCAACTCAGGTACATGCCTTTGACCAGAATTGAACCTGGGACCTTTCAATCCATGGCCAACACTCCATCCACTGAGCCAAACCGGCTAGGGCTGGTTTAGTACATATTGATTCAGGTATTGGAGTTCCCTCCTTTATCTCAATTTTGATAAAAATAAATGAATATTGTCCAAATAAGAGAGCTGGATGTCAGACATTTTTCTTGTTTGTAACATGAGATTGGGCCAGTTTTATGGTCTCTAAATATTTAAAAAAAAAAAAAAAAGAAAAAAGAAAAAAAAAAGATTTTTCTTGATTTTTAGAGAGAGGTAGGGAAAGGGAGAGAAAGAAGCTTTGATGTGAGAATGAAACATGGTTTGGCTGTCTGCTGCATGCACCCTACTGGGTTTTCCAGCTAAAACCTGGGATTGTGCCCCAGACTGGGAATTGAACTGGCAACATGTTGGTGCGTGGGACAATGCCCACCCAACTGACCCCACAGCGGCTAGGGCTCTTAAGTATTTTTAAATTTCTAAAGTCCTATTGTTTTCTTTGTTAGTTGATTGCACTAAAGAAAAGATTGTCAGTCTTTTTTCTTTCCCGATGGAAGGAAAGGAATATTCTCTGATTAAAAGTATTTATAGTAACAGTGGAACAGATGGGATGGAAAAGAAGGCTTCTAAAAAAAACCTCATAAAGCTCTGAAAATAAATGAATCTTAATAGTGTTGGTGACAAGGAATATTTAGAATTTGAATTCTGAAAAGCAGAATTCTGAAAAGCATAATCAAACTGGCCTGCACTCACCCTCCTCTGTTTTCACAGGGGAGGGTGAGTGCAGGCCAGTTTGATTATGGTTGTTGGAAATTTATTCCTTACGGATTTCAAGGGGCAGATAGTTTAATTTGCATATTTTTTGGATTTAGTCAATTAATACAGAGTGCTATTTTCATATTGTATAATTAGTTTTCTTTATTTTAGAAAGCATCTATGCCTTGTTCACTAATTTATATTTGATAATGAGGTTTCTGGCAAAGAAATACATTGTCAGAATGTATTCTATTTATTAATAGAAGTGTTACTGTGCAAATGGTTTATAATTAAGAACCTGCTTGCTTTAAAAGTGTGATTTTAGATACAGAATTGTCAAGCTTAATGGTGTAGCAGATGGTAGTTGAGTTTTAGGTCACTGTGTAGTCAGAACTACCTCTAAATCTTTCTAAGTATAAAGAGTCTTATCTGTTCTCTTCTTTATAATGGAATATCCATTTAAGATAGGGAGGAAACTGTTTTGTGTTACCTTATATTAATAGCAGCAATTTTCAACCTGTGTGCTGAAAGAATTTTTAAAACATGCAATACTGACTATTTAGTTAGGTTAATGACCTTTTTTCCCTTAAATTGTCAAATAAAAAAAGGACAACAGCTAGTACAACAATAGCTGGTGTGAATTAATAAAAAATTATATCTTTTTTTGTCATATTGGCATAAAATATATTTTTTAGTGCTGCAGAATTTTAGTAATTAGTTTATGTGTGCCATTAAATGAAAAAGATTGAAAATGGCTGTCTTGTAAGATTGTGCCTAGTCTAGAAGGAGTATCTGGGAGCTACACTGTTGAGTGTACTTTTATGCCACCTGCAGTGGGAAGGACTGCTGACTGTAAAGTTCTTTCTGCTATCATCAGGGCTTTTGTCGCATTCTATCAGTAGGCTTAATTTTGGGATAATTTTTGCTTTACCTCTTTCTTTCTGTTTTAGGTTGTGAGGACAGTATTATCTGATTCACCACAGCCCTCTACAGGAAAAGAAGTAAAATTAGAGGAACTGATTGACTGTCTAGTTTCTAACCCATTCTTAACTAGGAAGCAAATTCCCCGAACTCCAGAAAACTTGAGTAAGTTAATATTGTCTTCTATCACTTATTTTATTTTTTATACATTACTATGGTCTGAGACATCTTTTTGGAAGCTCACTTTAAAACTCTTTTACTGCCCTAGCTGGTTTGGCTCAGTGGATAGAGCCTTGGCCTTCGGACTGAAGGGTCCCAGGTTTGATCCTGGTCAAGGGCACATATCCGCGTTGTGGACTCAAAACCAGTAGAGGGCATGTAGGAAGCAGCCATCAATGATTCTCTATCTCATCATTGATGTTTCTATCTCCTTCTCCCTTCGTCTCTGAAATAAAAAATATATTAAAAAACGAAAACAAAAACTCTTTTACTTAAGTTTAGTGGCAATGGGTCTTGTTTTGACATAAGGGACTTTTATTGAAGAATTACATGTAGGCACTCTCACTTATATGGCAGTCTTTTTCAGTAAAATTATTTTGCCCTGATATTGTATAATTTTGTTTTTTGTTTTACTTGACTTTTTCCTGGAAATATTTTAGTTGATCACTTAAACCCTCTGCCTTCACATCTGATCTGTAATCAATATTTATAGAGTATAGAGGTTGTGATCTCCCAGGCAGTAACCAGCAGCATCAGCCAAGAACTGTGTGCTCAGAGATCTTTCCTATCCTTCCAAAGCCAGCCAGAATACACAGTACATTTTTAAAAAATAATGTTTTTATTTATTTCAGAGAGGAAGGGAGAGGAAGAGAGATAAAAAAGATCAATGATGAGAGAGAATCATTGATCGGCTGCCTCCTGCATGCCCCTCAATGTGAATCGAACTTGCAATTCGGGCATGTACCCTTGACTGGAATCGAACCTGGGACTCTTCAGTCTGCAGGCCAACACTCTGTCCACTGAGCCAAATTGGCTAGGGGCTAATACATTTTTTTAATAACCTACAATTTGTGTAGATTAAGTTCTAATATTGTCCTTATGTAGGCACATCATCCTGGTTAACTGATTAAATATAATTCCCATTTTGCTGCTAGAAATGATATATTCAAATTTAAATTGGTCAATTCAGGGTGAATTGAATCACAAAGCCTAACACACTGTCTTGTGTTTTTTTTGTAAAGTTATATTGAACATAATCTTGTTCATTTGTCAACATATTGTTTATGGATGCTTTCATGCTACAGTGGCAGAGTTGAATATTTGATGTAGACCAGATGGCCTGCAAAGCCTAAAATATTACTTAGTATCTGGCCTTTTGCAGAAAAGGTTTGTTGAACGCTGGCCATTCTTTTTGATACATGTAATTTGTATGTTCTGTTTACATTTCAGGAATAGGTCTTGTTATTTGTGTGTGATTAGTTGGAGATAAGTTAGTTCTTTGATCTTTTTGGGCTTTGATATATTGTGGAGCCTTATCATTCAACTAGCATATCTGTGGAACATATACTCAGTGGCTTTATTTTAACCCTTAGAAATGAAATGTTTATTTGCATGCTGTGTTTGGGAATATTGGTAAATTATGTTTTTTTTCTACTCCCCCTTTAATTAGTCAGTGATATTAGGAACTCATGGAGAAAAGCTGTTAAAATAGAAGATAACAGAAGTACAGAATCAATTCAAATGGATACTGAACATACAGAAGGTTTTAAGGATATTGATTTTGGCATATTACATGAAACTCTTCCAGAAGATGTTGGTCGTTTAAGTCTTAATAGCTCCAATAGTACAGAGGCTAATTTTAAACTGGATCCAAATAGCCCTATGCCCAGTAGCATTTTCCCAGAAGATGTTGTGGGAGAAAGACAGACTACTCCAAAATCAGACTCCCATGTACAGGCTATTTACAGTAGATATGAGGCTCTGAAAAAATCTTTTATAAAGAAAAAGGAAGAAACTTACCACTTTAATTCTGAAATATCTGAAAGATACAAACTAGAATTGAGCCCTGCTCCTCAAACCATGCAAACAGATGATATGCTTAACCTTCTGGACACTCAAAATTTGCATTCTGATTATACAAAATCATCTTTACGAATGTCTGTTGGTGAAAGAAAACAGTCTCTTTCACCACTAATTAAGTTTTCTCCAGTGGAACAAAGATTGAGGACCACAAGGCCATGTAGTCTTGAAGAACTTCCACCTTATTTAAAAGGTAAGATTAAATAGATCTGTGCATGTTAACTTGCTAAAGTTTTCTCTCAACTTCTCATAAGAATAGTATACAATGAATGCTACATGATCTTTGTTAATGTGACAAAATATGCTTATTGTTTTGGCTAGGATGAGAAAAGTGTACCCATCACTATTATGGGTACTATCAGAATCTTTAGTGATGTGTATGTAGTTTATAATTAGTCTGAGATGGTTTGAAAACAAAACCAAAAACTTGAAACCTATTGCTTTTGTAATATAAACTAATAAAGGTAAATTTCATCAAAATCTTTTTGGCTAGTAGAAGATGGTTCTAAAAAAGTTGAGAAACTGTTAAATATCACTTTTGTAATATAATATCTGTGACTTGCTTTAAATTTGGTGTGGGTGGGATGATAAAACAAGTAAGGTCAGTGTATTAGTTTTCTAGGTCTACCAAAGCAAACGGGGTGGCTTAAGTTGAGATTTATTATCTCTACAGACAATAAGTTTTGGAGGCTAGAAACCAGCCTCAAGATGTTGGCAAGAACCATGTTCTCTGAAGCCACTAGAGAAGATCCTTCTTGCCTTTTCTAGCTTCTGGTGGCCCCAGATGTTCTTTGGCTTGTGGCAGCATAATGCCATACTTTCTCTGCCTTCCTCTTCACGTGGCATTCTCCCTCGTGTCTCTCTGCACTTTGTTATAAGGACACCAGTCATGTAGATAAAGGGCTTGTCCTACTTTACAATGACCTCATCTTAACTGATCATATCTGCAATGACCCTATTTCCAGTAAAGTCCTGGGGTTAAAACTTCAACATATCTGTTTGGGGGACACCATTAAACTCATTAACAGTTAGTATTAAATAATTATTGAATTATTAAAGCTAACTCTATTAGGTTAATCGTAATTTTTAAAAAATGTTTGAAAATTTTCATGGTAAAGAGTTATAAAAACTGCCCTTAAAGTATGTTAGAACAGATATGGGTCTGGTGATAATTCATTATATGTCACTCTGATTTGCCCATGATAATTAAACACTGGTATATTGAAAAGTATTTTAAGAGGATAAAAAAAAAAAAGTATACTAAGAAGTATATATTAATATTCTTTGGAGAATACCTCAGTGAGAATGATGGTAATTTTATCATAGTTAAATATCTATAAGTGAACTTTTTTCTTAAGAAGACTGAAATTTGTTTGCTAATAATAGGAATCTGTTCTATTTGATTTTTTTGGTAATGTTTGCATATCCTTTTCTTTAAAATCAATTTTGCAGAAGCAGAAATCTTGAATAAGAGCCTTGATGCAAAAGAATCGCCATCTGAGTTGAAGAAATAATTACGTTGCACACTTCAATTGAAGCAAGTTTATTTAAAAATAGACTTATAGCCCTACCTGATGTGGTTCAGTTGGTTGAGCATCCTCCTATGAAATGAGAAGTCACCTGTTTGATTCCTGGTCAGGACACATGCCCAGGTTGCTGGCTTGTAGGAATTGTGCAGGAGGCAGCTGGTTGATATTTTTCTCACATTGGTGTTTCTCTCCCTCTCCCTTCCTCTCGCTAAAATAAAAACAACACAAAAACACCAGATTTATAGGGGTGGGTGGAGGTGGAGGAGTTATGGGGCGGGGGGATAAATGGTGATGAAAAAAAGCCAAAAAAATTTAAAAGCCCCCCCCCCCCATAACATTTTTCAAGATCTAAAAAGTCTTAAATTATTCCCTTTAGCCTCTCCTAATGTTTTTTAGGTAAGTGGAGTTGAAATGTGAAGTACTTGGAAAGCAAACATCAAGTTATAGGAAGCCATTTTGATTTCTTGAACAATCTTATAAGCATTAAGAAAATGGCAATGTAGTAGTTAAATTTACTGATATAATTTCAGTTAATTAACATAAAGATGAGTAGTTTTTGATGCAGATTTATTACATGGTTAACATAATAGCTATTGAAAACATTGATCTTTCATTTTAGGGAAATAGAGAACTTTTATTATTTCTTAATAGAACATTCTGATACTAACAAAAAATAAAAACAAAAGAAAAATAGTGCCTTGAGCTGTGTAGTCAAAAGGACAAAGTTTAAGTTTGGAAAGCTCTAAACAGGCTTCATGACTGATTATTCAAGTAGGCTGATGCTGGAAAATGGTTTTATGGTATAAAGTGCATGTGATATGTGAAGACTGGAGCAGAATGAATTTAGTAAAAAGGAAAAGGATGGAAAAGGACTAGACACTTTTAAAGAATACTATCAAACTATAAATCCATTCATTGGGTTGTATAGCAGATTTATATTTAGTCTAATTTAGACTGAGAATTTAATTTAACCCTACTTTTATATTTGAACAGAAAAGAATGCAAATTAAAAAATTTGTGTGTTTGTATTTTTTTTTGGGGGGGGGAGGGTGGTGGTGGTAAGGGCACTGTTTTGTGGGAAAGGAGCTAATTTTGATTATATTGCTTTCTTCCAGTTTCCTACAGCCTACAGAATAGTCTCATAATAACTTGAGAAAACTGAATTTGGGGTTAAATAACTTGTTTAGCGTCATACTGCTATGTCAGTGGTAAAGCTAGGATTTGACCAAATTTTCCTTCCTTAATAAACTACAAATAACTAAAAGGCTGGGGACAGTAGAGATGGGAGTCAGATGTAAGGTCTTTTGTACAAAATCCTGCCTCACTCAGTCATGGTCTCTGGCCAAGAAAAGCGCTTGTCTCTAGAATCAAGTGAGTACATCCCCTGGCCCTCTAAGAATCAGGAGGAATGAGTACACACTGGAAGGCAAGAGCACAAACAGTACCTCTCTATCTTGCCCAAACTCTTAACCATTAAAACCATGTTCATTTGCCAGAAAACTGGCAGGGAGAGGAGAAAAAGGGAGGGAAGAGTTCTGAAAGTGGGGGCTTAATCATTATCTTTTACTCATTTTGGGCTTGCCACTCTGTGAGAAAAGACGGAAAAAAGCATATTTGAAGTGGGAAAAAAATCTAAATTGCTATATTCCTTTATTAGTTAATAAACCAATAAGGGACTCTATATACTGAGAAACTAAATTCTCTAGTCTAAAGAAAACTGTTTATAAATCCAAAATTAATGTTAGGGAGGATAGGGCATCATCACCAGAGCTATTACTAGTTACTTAATATGTATAATTTAATTTTTATAATTATTAAGATAGTGATTATACCTGTTTTGCAGATGGGCTGAAGCCAGGGAGTCTTAATGATTTGTCTTAAAATGGACTCAGAAATCACCTGCGACAGATTAGATTATATAGGTCTAAAATGGGGATTAGGAATCTTTTTAAATATGCTTTCTTGGTAATTATCACACCAAAAAGCTTAAGACTAACGCTAGCCAAGTTAGTTCAGTTGGTTAGAGCAGTAGTCGGCAAACTCATTAGTTGACAGAAGCCAAATGTCAACAGTACGATTTACGTTTCTTTGAGAGCCAAATTATTTAAACTTCTAACGCCAGCCACTTCTTCAAAATAGATTTGCCCAGGCCGAGGTATTTTGTGGAAGAGCCACACTCAAGGGGCCAAAGAACTGCATGTGGCTCTCGAACCACAAGTTGCCGATCACAGGGTTAGAGTATCATCCTGATAATGCTAAAGTTGAGGGTTCAATCCCAGACTAACCAACAGCTACCCCACAAGGGCAGTCAATTTTATCTAAAGGAAAAACATTCATGAGACCTGTATAAAAGGAAACCCTGTTTTTTCCTACTCTGAGTAAACTTATGTTTAAGGACATTTTCCTCAATGTAAAGCAAGTGTATGCTAAACTAAAATTTTCTAATGTTAACAGATGAGTAGTTATAGTGAACGTCAAATCTGCATCCTAAATTTAAAATATTTATTGGTCCCCTATGAGACGATTTGTAAATATGTTCTATATGCTCTAGTATTGAATAAACATTCAATATTATATCACATGGCTCTGGAACTTGCTAGATTTTTATATACAAAAGAACCATGCCCGCCCTAACTGGTTTGGCTCAGTGGGTAGAGCACTGGCCTGCGGGCTGAAGGGTCGCAGGTTCAATTCCAGTCAAGGGCATGTACCTTGGTTACAGGCACATCCCCAGTAGGGAGTGTGCAAGAGGCAGCTGATATTTCTCATCGCTGTTTCTAACTATCTTCCTCTGGAGAATCAATAAAATATATATAAAAAACAAAAACATGCCCTTCAAAAAAAAAAAAAAAAAATCACAGTTATACCAGTAAACTTATCAACAGAAATTTGTGAGATTCAGATATGAGCATTTTGTTACTGCCATTTAATTTTTAGAGTCACTAATGAAGTATTTTAAAAAGTACATCTATACCTTCAAAGTTTTCATATGGAGCCTTTATAGTAACTGAAAAAGGCTCCAAGTAGATGAGTTTAATTGCTTGCATCCACATAGTTTCTTGCTCTTCACAGGTAGGGGACCTTGTCATCCACATACAGCTGCAAAGTTTATTGCTTATATTTAATCTGTATACAGAGCTAATGTCTCATTTGTAAAAAGAGGTGAGAGGAGTTGATCAGAGGTTTCTTGGCTCTAAAATATGTAGATTGCTTTAAGGCAGCTGGAAAGGACATTTTAGATCTCTTTTCTGATTTTACCATACCACATTACCAATCCAAATTAGTAATGTTATCTTTCCCTCAAACGAGTTAATCTAAGAATTTGATTCAGTATTATCCAATTTCCAGACAAATGCAGATGGGATAGTGATCTTGCCCAGAAGTTACTTAACCACTATTGAGAAGTTACTTAACTTACTGGGCTTGTTTCTTTCATCTGTAAAATTAAGGGAAATTATATGAATATACACTTAAAAAGGATTTTTATGATTAACATGATTAACACTTCTGTCAGTGGGATGTAATAGGGAAGGGGGAGGATCTGAAATCATATTGTCTAGATTCAGTTCTATTAAGGCCATACCAGTTTTCTCATTTATTGAAGTAGAGATAAAAGTAATTTACTTCATAGGTTGTGAGGATTAATAAGAAAATGCACATCAAGTATTTAAGAATACCTGGCATTTAGTAAGGGTTCAAATAAATGTTGCTAGGCTCCATGTCCAATAATTTTGGAGTATGTGTGGCAAAAAGAATACTAAGCCATTCTTTTTGGGGCAAAAAGAATGGCTTAGTATGTGGTATTGCTAGCTGACAGTACTGAGTATATGCCAGGCACCATTCTAAATGCTATGTTTTAACTAATCCTTTTAACAATCCTATTTTGTAGTGCTATTCTTATCCACATTTTATAAATGAGAAAACCCAGCAGCGAAATTAAATACCTTGTCCAGTTTACAAAGCTAGTAAGTGAAAGTACTAGAAAGAATACTAACTCAGCTCAGGTGGTCTAGCTCCAGATTCAATGTTCAGACACTGTTACAGCTGCTAGGGGGACTAAGATCACAAAATCAGACCAGTAAAGCAATACTGTGGCCAGTCAGAATCTTTAGATTTACATATTAACCCCTGTTTCAAATAAGACCATGTTTTAAACTGCGAATAGCAAATGTTTATTTATGACTGAAGCCAAGAAGAATTTATAAATGCATTTTAATATCTTGCTGATAAAATAGTAACATTCCATCTTTGCAATCTTGCAAGGAATACAGGAAGATATTGTAAAGGCTTTGATGTGTATATCTATTATAACCAGGTAATCAGAACACACACACACACACACACATACACACACACCACCTACTTTAGTGTTACACCATACCAACTTTTCAGAAAGGCCATCTTAAAGCTCTACTGGATAGCTGAGTAAATAGCGTCCGAGATTTAAAGAATGGGGAGTAGGGAAGAGATGGAAGTAGTAAGCAGCACACAATTCAAAGCCCACTTTTAAGCACACCACATTATGAATACTAAAAGGATGCGGGAGGGGCGGGGGAGAGAGGGAAGGCAATTCAGCATTTTCAGAAAGGGCATTTGGCAACATTCAACGCATAAGGAGGCTGTGCTTGGGACCATCCACTCTCTCCAGCTTCTCAAAGTGTTTCCTGGCGTTGCGAATGTTGATCAGAGTAGCTGCGGACGGGATCGACGGATCCGACATCACCACCATCACGTACGTGTTTGACGTGAAGATGTCGATGAAAGCAGCGAAGTTGGAATTTCTAACTTCCATGCTCTGGAAAGAAGCGGCCAGCTTACTGCAGCTCAGCTTGAACTGCTTGATGATGTTGCTGATCTTCTCGAACCGGTGCACGTCGCGCTGCTCCTTGCACTGGTAGTGGGAGATGACCAGGAACGTGGCTCTCTCGAACAGCAGAACTTCATCGGCCTCGATGATCTGGGCAAAATTCCTTAGGTTCATCTCCAGCTGCTGAACATTGGGGATCAGCTGGTAGACAATGCTGGACCAGGCCTTGTAGAGCGTTTCATCCCAGATGGATGTTCGAAAACAGGCGCACTCCAGCGGGCGGGACAGACGCCTCAGGTCTTCCTCTCGCTCTTTGAAAATCAGGTCACGCTGGTCCTCCTGCACCAGATCCATCTTGTGCACCAGGCAGAAGATTTTGGCGTCGGGAGAGTTCTGGAGGATGGCCTCCAGGCACGACTGGTAGTAATGCATGTCCTTTTCCAGCTCGCGGCTCTCCACATCAAACACGTAGATGAGCACCTCGACGTTGCGGAAGATGTTGTCCCGCTGGCTGGTGAAGTAATTCTCCATGAAGGTGTCCTGGCCGCCGCAGTCCCACAGGTTCAGCACCAGGTTGCCCAGGAATCGGACGTGGGAGTGCTCCACATCGATGGTGGCGCCCAGGCGCCGGGTGTCGCGAGCGATGTAATTCGCAAAGATGATCGACCTCATGCTGGTCTTCCCCGACCCGCTCTTCCCCATCAACAGCACCTTTTTCTTCATGGCCGTATTGGGCATCACCCGCCGGGAGCCTCCGCGGACTGGGCCTCAGGGCGCGGCCTCGCTGCAGCGCGGACGGAGGGAGGGAGCGAGCGAGCGAGCGAGCGAGCGGCCGGACGTTCGGAGGCCTCGGCAGGCTGGGCCGCGCGGCGGAGCAGGCAGGGAGGCCGGGAGAGCGGGCTGGGGTTGGCAAGGCCCGGCGGGGTGAGCGCTGCCGCGGGAGAGAGGAGCCAACGGCTGCAGCAGCTCCGCCGACCGCTCGCCTTCCGGTGAGGAAAGCCGCTGCGTCTCGGCTGCCACCCACTTCCGGCGGCGATCTCGCGAGAACTGCCCGCGCTCGGCCGCCGCAGCCTGAGCAGCTCTGATAAACGGCTTTTTAATAATGAGACCGAGCCGAGGCCTCGGAACCAGGAAATGGAAGGGGAACCCAGGATTCTAGTGTCCTGTTCTTTTGTTCCAGCTGGGTTTAGAGTGGCTAAGGTGTACGCGGTGGTCGTTTGGGAGAATGCTGCCCTCTCGCGGCCAGCCCGCCCCTAAGACATGACGCCGGCGTGTCTGGGTGGTGGTGGGCCCGGGGGGGAGGCGGGGGAAGGCGCTCAGCCCAGTGAGGCCTCCCCACGGCCCCTGTTGGCTGAGAACCAGGGCAGGGCGAAGGCCTACTGGACAGGCCAGGGAAGTTAGGTGATGGCCCAGGGCTGCCAAGCTGCACGGTAGTAAATGTCTGCTGAGCAATATCCCGACTCTCAGTTCGTGCTTTTTCTCCTTGGAAGTTCCTTTCTCACACCTCCTTTTCCGGTCATCTCAGACTTTAGAATTGACAATCAGCTCTCCAGAGCTTGAGGAAACTATAACATGGAACCTGTGCCTTAGCTCTATTCTCACAATGACCCTATGAATAAATAACCCGATTTTCAAGTGAATAAATCGAAGCTTGGAGGGGGTTAAGTAGCATTGGCAAGTTATACATCTATTAAGTGATGACATGTAATTTTACCTAAAAAATATAAATAATTTCTTTAATCTTTAAGGTGTACAACATGATTTGATCATACACAGTGAAATGATTACTACAGTCAAGCTAATGAACATATCTTTGTGGTGAGAATATCTGAAATCCACTCTTAGAAAATTTCCAGTATTCAATACAGTATTAACTATAGTCATCATGCTTTAGGTTAGATCTCTATCCTAAAACTGCACCCCCCTATTTTCCCCACCTCCCTTATTTCTGTTAACCAGTCTACTTTTTGCTACTATATATGTAAGATTCTGTCCTTAAGTGAGACCGTGCAAGCTTTTTTTCCCTTTCTGTGTCTGGTTTTATTTCATCCATATTGTTTGCAAATCGCAGGCTCTCCTTTTTAAAAGCTAATAATATTAATATTACATTTGCTCATATAAAGCATCATTTCTCTTTTAATGTAAAAAGCTTACTTTCTGTTTAAAAGTTAATATACTTTGAGTAAGTCATCTAGAATATTCTTTAACAGCATATTCTATAAATCAGATATTAACAGATTTTGGCTAAAATATATCAATAGCAGAATTCCTGCTGTCCCATGGATAGGTTAACATTTTTTTATTTTTAGCATTTGAGTTATGAAATTCTTCTAGTATTTATGTTGGATTATGGTGATGTTTCCCCCCAGTTTTATTGAGATATGCAGTTGACATATAACATTGCATTCATTTTAGGTGTACAACATAATGATTTTATATTTAGCCAAATAACTACCACAATAAGTTTTTTTTTTTTTTTTTTTTTTTTTTTTTTTTTTTTTACCTCAACATATTTAAAATTAGTTTCCTTATGATGAAAATTTTTTAGGTCTACTCTTAGCAAATTTTAAATGTACAATGCAGTATTGTTAACTATAATCATCAAGTAGTACATTATATTCTTTTTTTTTTTTTTAATATATTTTATTGATTTTGTACAGAGAGGAAAGGAGAGATACAGAGTTAGAAACATCGATGAGAGAGAGTCATTGATCAGCTGCCTCTTGCACACCCCCTACTGGGGATATGCCCGTAACCAAGGTACATGCCCTTGATTGGAATCGAACCTGGGACCCTTCAATCCTCAGGCTGGCGCTCTATCCATTGAGCCAAACCAGTTTCGGCTACACATATCTTTTCAAGATAGTGATTTTGTTTTCTTTGAATATATGCCTGGAAGTGGGATTGCTGAGTCATATGGTAGTTCTATTTTTAATTTTTTAAAAAAATAGTTTTTATTGTCAAAAGTATTACAGATGTTCCATTTTATTCCTCATTGACTCTTTCACCCCACACCAAAACCCCACCCCCAGACCTTCACTGGACTATAAATTTTTAAGGAAACACCATATTGTTTGTCACATAGGTTGCACCAGTTTACATTTCTACCAACAATGCACAAGGATTAACTTTTATCCACATCCTCACCAACATGTTTTCTCGTCTTTGATGATAGGCATTCTAACAGGTGATATATCATTGTAGGCATTTTTTTCTATAAATATGGAACGCCTCACAAATTTGCATATCATCCTTCCGCAGGAGCCATGCTAATCTTCTCTGTGTCATTCTAATTTTAGCATATGTGCTGCTGAAGTGAGCACTATCATTGTAGTTTTGAATTGCCTTTCCCTGATAGTGATGTTGAACATCTTTTCATGTATCTGTTGGCCATTTGTGTGTGTCTCCATTGTAAAAATGTCTATTCAGTTTCTCTGCCCATATTTTCATCTGATTTTTTTCTAGTGAGTTGTGTATTTTGGATATTAACCCTTATCACATAAATGACTGGCAATTTTCTGTCTCTCTGTCCCTCTCCCTTCCTTTCTGAAATCAATAAAAATATATTAAAAAATAAAAAATTCCCTTGCCTTTGTTTGCCACCAGTCTCTGCTCCCACCCTGAGACCGAGGCAGTCACTCTTCTACTTTCTGTCTCTATTAATTTGCCTTCTTTAGAAATTTCATGTAAGTTGAATCATATAATATATACACGTATTTTCTGGTGTATAAGACGACCCCCCTAATTTTACAGTTAAAACATAGGTTTAGCCATATAAGACTACCCCCACTTCCGAGGCAACACCAGTTCTTTTTTTAATAGACCGCCTCTCTGACTCTGGCCAATCTGAGCAGGCTTTTTTTTCGTTTCAAAAGTCGTCTTATACGCCGGAAAATACGGTACTTGAAAAACTTGCTTCTTTCTCTTAGCATAAGGTTTTTGAGGTTCATCTGATATTATAGCATGTATTAAAATTCCAAATATTTTTGCTGAATAGTATTCCATACACTACTGTATTTTGTTTGTTCATTCACCAGCTAATGGAAATTGGGATTATTTCCAGTTTTTATGCTATTAGGAATAATGCTTCTATGAATGTTCATGTTAAAGTTTTTGTGTGGACATATGTTTTCATATCCTTTGGGTAAATACCTATGAGTGGAATTGCTAGGTCATCTGGTAAGAATATGTTTAACTTTTTAAGAAATTGTCCAACTATTTTCTAAAGCAGCTGTACCATTTTACACTCTTATCAGCAATGTATGTGAGTTCCACTTTATTCACATCCTTGGCAACAATGTTGACTGATAGCATTCTAATGATTCTGAAAGGGAGTCTCATTATGGTTGTGGTTTACATATCCTTAATGATTATTAATGTCATGCATTTTGTTGGGGGTCCTGAAGATCACCACCAGGCTCAATGATTTGTTAGGAGGATTCAGAGGACTCAGTATGTTGTCATACTAATGGCTTTGATTTATTACAGTGAAAGGACTCATAGCAAAAGCAGCAAAGGAAAAAGGCAAATGGGGTGAAATCTGGAGGAAAACAGCCACAGGTTTCCAAAAGTTCTTTCCCAGTGAAATCACACAGGATGTGCTTAATTCTCGCAAGCAATGAGTTGTGACAGCACGTGTGAAATATCTACAAGGAAATCTCATTAGGGACTCATGGCCCAGGGTTTTTATTGGGGGCTGGCCACACCAGCACCATTTACCCTAGCATGTACCAGAATTCCAGGTTCCCAGAAGGAAAGTAAGTGGTCAGTATAAACCACATTGCTGGAACAGTTTAGGCACAGTGAGCCATTATTGTCAGGGAATGGCCGGAACTCTCCTCAAATCCAAGTTCTTAGCCAAGGGCAATCCTTGCAAGCAGGACTTTCCAAGGAGAGCAGTTTCAGGCTTGCTATGTTAACTCTTCTGCATGAGCATCTTTTCATGTGTTTATTGACATTCATATATTTTCTTTGGTGAAATCTCTTGCTCTTTTTTAATTGGGTTGTGTTATTATGAGCTGTATGAGTTCTTTGTATATTCTGGATACAAGTTCATTATCAGGTAAGTAATTTGCAAGTATTTTTCCCAGTCTGTACTTACCTTTTCATTCTCTTAACAGGATATTTTGAAGAATTAATTATTATTAGTTTTATGGATTAGGTCTGAGTTTCACAAAGATTTAGTTATTTGCTTTCACCTGAATATTTTATAATTTTAGATTTTACATTTAAGTGTCTGAAACATTTAAAAAATGTTTTTGTTTCAGAGAGAGAGAGATAGAAACATCAATGATGAGAGAGAATCATTGATCATCTGCCTCCTGCACATCCTCTACTGGGGATTGAACCGTCAACCTGGGAACATGCCCCGACTAGGAATGGAACTCTGATTTCCTGGCTCACAGGTCATTTAACCCCTGAGCCAGACACACTGGGCAGGCTGTGATTAATTTTTTAGTTAATTTTTGTATGAAGTGATGTTATAGTATAAATTTTCTTTTTCCCCCCTGCATATGGATGTCCAATTATCTCAGCATCATCGAAAGACCATCCTTTCCTCATTCTCATTGAATGGCCTTGTTACCTTTTTACTGTAAGAGTTATGAATTCTTCATTGTGTTCCTTGATTTATATGTCTTTTCTTAGTCAATATCATACTGTCTTGATTAACTTAGTTATAATTTTGATAGTGTGTAGAAATTGGGTGTTTTAAGTCCTCTTTGTTTTTTTCAGAATTA